TTTTTTCCCTCCCTTTTTATGTGCGATCACCGCCAATGATAATCTGGTTGCTGCAAGCCCTTGGAATAGTGTCCGCGGGAATCCTCGTGGACGAGTCCAGAGGCGGTCCAGTGCGCGGCACACTGGCTTCCCTTGGTCTGCTTTCCCAGGTACGATCACCAAGCGCGTTGAGCCAAACCTCCTGACGAAGAGCCTCGAGCTGGCGTATGTAGTGGTCCCCATCCATGCTCCAATCAGCACCATGGCGCGTCGGTTGCAGCGTTTGCGCCGTCGTGCCCGCATCACCAGGCCTATCGGGGTTCGATTGGATTTGGCGAGGTCCGCCCTGGGAACCACCATCAGATTTCCATTGACGGTCTGAGGTTGCCGCAAAGCGCGGTTCATCGGGTATCTGGACATGCTGGATGGTAGAAAGCACAGGAGTCACAGTCGTACCTGAATCATTTTTGCCATCTTTGAGTGGCTTCTCTTTGGAGGCTTTGGGCATATCGACGATTCGTCGTCGGTTGGCCCTCCTTCGTCGCGGAGGTCCAACGTCGCATGCGTTGCCTCGCACTTCCTCCGGTGCTTGGCCCGGTCGAGCAACCGGGACGGGCCCTTGTTGTGCCACAACAGTGCCAGGGGACTTGCTCACAACCGTCGAATGGTCCGCGATAGGCGTCCGGATGACCGGGGCGCCCTCCGGCTCCGCCACTCGTTCAACCAAGTGCTTCCTCTCCGTGTATCCGGGGCTGGTCCCATCGATAATGATGTCGACCGAGTAACCCGGCGTACGGCGGAATAGGTTGAAAATAACGACACGGTTGCCGGAATACGTCTTCACAAACGGATTGCCCGATATCCAGATCTCCCGTATTTCAGGGAGACAGGTGAGTCGGGCAATCTCCATCGGATCGGTCAGCAGGTTGTCCCGCAGATCCAATCGTTCCAACGAAAGAAGACGTTCGATTCCGGCGAGCGAGCGGAGACGGTTGCCACGGAGGTTGAGAGCTGTGATTGCGGGGAGAGGGTTTCGGGACAAGGAGTGCAAGGATTCAATCATACAATGCGACAGGTTTAGGGCTCGCAATGCGACCAGGGATGCTAGACTGTCGGGAACCTCGGTAAAGAGATTCGATGAGAGATCCAGAGAATGCAGGGTATTCGCTACAGGGGCAAGACTGGTGGTACTGATGGTTGTCAGGGAGTTATCCGGCAGTCCCAGATGCCGGAGGAATCGCCATTTTGACGAGGGGAGAGTGGTGGAGAGGAGAAGATTGGAGGAGCTTGAGCTTCGACAATGACCCGAGTGCTCGCTAGAATTAGAACTACCAGAACCGGTGCGCCTAATCCGCGAATGCCGGGTATGACGCTGGATCGAGTGCCTCGAACTGGCGGGACGGGTTGGCGAATTGCTCTCGGTGCGGGAGCGGCCCTGAGAGCCTTCTGACCCAACACGGAGCATAGAGGCCGCCTGCGGACTCGTGCTCGATCCAAGGGCCGTCTCAGCGACCGGAGAGTTTGGCACAGAAAGGGATCCAGACCACTCAGGGCGGACCATCTGGGAGTGACCATTTCCACTGGAACTCAGCGTCGGGGAGTGTCCCTGGGCTTTGGATGACCGGCGACGGCGCTTGTCGATATCGTCCAATACAATGCCAGTGAGCAGGTCCGCAGGGTCTTCAAGGTTGGCTCTCTTGATCGTCAGGGTTCGCAGTTGCTCCGACAATCGATCCCAGCCAAAGAAGGAACGGTAGTCTATATCAATGATTTCTAACGCACTCAGGTTTTTGAATGAATGGAGCGGCACAGCCGTGTCAAAGGGGAATTCTTCGTAACCGCGGATTAGACGGGCGCGGTGGTCAGGGGCTAAACGCAAACAGGGTATCTTGGTAAAAGCGGAGTAGAGGTACTTGAGGTCCGCTTCGAGGGCAGCCTTGGCTTTTTCGGATTTGGTCGAGGAGTCTTTGGAGATTCCGAAAGACGACCAGAGGGCACTCATACCAGACATGACACTACGGACACTTGATACTGAGTGGATGGAGTCTCTATCACCCCTGGACCGTTGGGGTTTGTTCAGGAAGGAGACGTAGGATTGGGACACATCGTTATGGATGTTTTCCAGTCGAACACTCATGGGACCGACGGAGATGGAGAGATCCTCGAAGCGGGAGAGTAGGTAGAACAGGTGATGGGGGGTCAGGGTAAGTTTCGCGGGCTTGATGCCTTGGGAGCCAAGCTTCAATGTCCCAAAAGACAAGGCTGACGCCAGAGTCGAGGAGGTCGAGGAGAGGGCACTCCCCGAGCTGGAGGAGGTTGTGGAGGAGACATGAGCGGATTGTGTGCGTCTCAGTTGCAGGGCATTGGCTAGCGCCTTTTCATGGGTGCGGACGAAGCTGGCGAGATTCTAATAGCAAGAAACCAACCCATCAGTATACCGAACCAGCACGAATGTATTGCCAAGGGAACCAACCTTTATGAAGAGTTGTCCGTCCTCAGTGTTTAGTTTCTCCATTCCGGATGGTGCTTTCACCCGAGAGGAACCGAAACTCAAAGACGGATGGGGTGTTCTCTAGTCAGGCGAACTGGAAGGATAAAGCTCAAGAACTGGTAGAGAAGGGCGTCGACATCTTGTAAGGAGACAAGCGAAGGAGGACGAGCAGGGAAGAGAGGTGACAGAAAAAAGTGGCAATCAATCTGGTTTGCGACGCGATGTGACCTGCAGTGGAAAGAACACAAGAGACCAGGGGTTAGCAAATGGACTTCTTTTTTCTTTGAAGAATTCAACTTTTGTTGTACCAGAATCACCCAACACTGTCCTCCGTAGAGAAGTTGGTTGTCCCACGATGGATCAGAAGAAAAGACTCAGGGGAAGAGAAAAGGAACATACCAGACAAGGTATCAGTTTATATATATATCTGTAGTTGTATGCAGCGAGGTGACTGGTCAGGGATGAAGCGGTTCGCAAGGCGTGCTGAATGGCCGGAGATCTTCCAAATTCGGATGAAATCTCTTTAATTTCTGAGTCGATAGAACTTCTCGAAGAGACGGTGTAAAGAGAGAGAGTCAGTGGGATGGAGACGGAAATGCGATGAATGAATAGAAGGATAGGATAGGAGGAAGAGGGATCAGAATAATAATAATAACAGGCCGCCTGGGGGGCGTAGGAAGGAATGATAACAGCGGACCAGAAGATGTGACCCAGCAATGGTGGCACGGGGGAGTCCCAGAGTGGAGCTACTGATAATAGAGCCTGTATTTTATTTTACAGCTGAAATACCACCCGAGGCGCTGCTAGATAATTAAAAAAAAAAAAAAAAAAAAAAAAAAAAGACGATCAAATCAGCTGAGGAGAGGGTTTTCCGATGATGGATCATTCTGACCTTAATTAATATGCATTTTACTAAAATCAAGGATTAACTATGATCATGAATTATAAATGTCTTGGTTCTTGCTTAATTCCTGACTCGACTTCTTCCTCGTACAGACCTTCCCGCCATTTGCAATTCTGTCCTCGAGCGAAGAGAAAGAAAGAAAAAGGCTGTGAAGACATACATGCAAACTGCAGCACCACTAAACCAGAGCGGGTTGGTGGCAGTTATGTAGGAGGGGGTTTAGCGTGAATTAGCGCTACTGTGGCTCTTTTCGTCCTTTCTATCCTATCTACAGTATGCACACGCAGAAAGAGTGGACAAAGTATGCACAGAATAATACTTCAGGTTATACTCCAATACCGTCCAATAAAGGCAGAGAAATTACTGGCATGCTGGGACGAATCCAATTGATAAAAAAAAAATATAAAAATATAAAAATATAAAATAAAAATAAGAATAAAAAACGGTTCAGTGATTCATCGTGGGCTTCTGGTTGGCATTTGGATTGTCATATCAGCTACTCGAACGGTACGCCTTTTTAGTGCATCCAGTAAGTGTCATTCTTTGGGTCTGGGAAAGGTAAAGTGTGGGTGGGCCCAGAGATAAATACTCGGAGTACCCTGCGCGAGTCTACATTTCTACTCTACGCAACTCGTGAGTGATATCCCATCAATCGGAGTCTTCAATGTCCCTTGGTGACATTATTTCCCTTGCTGCTGCGGGACGGAAGGTAAATATTACTACGTGACCCAACGAGTCGACCACCCTTTGTCGTACAGGATAGAAGTTCGGGAAGAAAAAAAGAGGTTGGCGCATAGACCAGGAGATTACGGTTTGCTTTTGATGTCAACGGCGACCGTACTTGTGTGCATTGACGGGAAAGAATCGACAGTCAACATATTCCGTACACTGGACAACGGACATTTAACGGCTCTTAACAACAGGATATACGCCCCCCTGATACACTTAAGTATCTTGGAATCCAAACTCGGCAAGAATGATCCCACCATGGCGGGATCTGAATGGTCACTCTGATAGATCGACACTGCAGAGGGAGGGGTACTCGTAAATCCTTGCTTGCGTAACTGTACAGAGTACGGAGGGCTGTACATTTCTCGCTAACTGTGTACAAGTAGAGTTCAGGGTGCATTAGAGGTGACGAGGCGATCGAAAGCCATAGAAAAGTACTGCGGTTCCGTCTAATTCAAGGTGTTCATGGTATACACGTACTCCAGTGTACAGTATACAAAGTACAGGCCCGACGGAATGGATGCTATCCATGGCGAACTACACATTTGAATCCTGACCTCACGGAACAGATGCCGTGTCTAGTCTATACTACGAAGTACAATTGTCCCCTATTTGTACTTGTACTATGTATATTTTCTACCCCTGGTTCGAATCCCAACCTTACCCCGCCTGTTATTCTCGGTGTTGATCAAACATTTTGCGCGGGGTAAGCGAAGCCAAGTCGGACCATTCAGTAAGACAGCCCCTGATACAGACCACACTTATACAACGCTGTAGAAAACGTCTTACAACGAAAAAGGGACGCAGGAATTGCAATGGTACGATGAACAACAAAAAGACCATGCATTAACCCGACTGCCGTATATCCCGACTAGCATTCGGACCAACTCTCTTAGCACCGGAGAACATGCCACTCGAGGCTTGATGAAACGGTGCCGCAGTCAACTACACGGGAATCTCGAGGGGTTAGGTGCTACCTACGAAGAACACCGCATGCAAGCACGTTCTATTATTCCGTATTGTGACACTGGAACTCATGAACATAAATACGGTTACGAATATGCATGTTTGCTTTTCGTGCCGCTGCTTGTTTTCAATTGAGCGACTGCCATCACAATCACTACTGGCTTCTGTCGACCAAGAGTACCACTTCTATATGGTCGTAGAGTAACTATTCGGAGTAAGTTTCCTGGCCTACCAGCGAAGAGAAGAATGAATGTCTTTATTTCGCGCGATAAGCGCTGGAAGGGATGAGAAACTTGGAACCCTCTCCATTTTTAACCTAATCTTTAAACGTTTCCATTTTTGACTTGATTTCATATGTACCCATGTTCGTCAATTAGCACTCTGGTTAATTCCGCATTAATTTCCTGGCCTGTAGCGGGGTTTTCTTTCAGCTAACCACGTACAAAATCTAATATTAGACGACATGCAGGAAAAAAAAAAAATCGGAGAAAAAACCACACAAACAAACCATCACCTGATAACACCCAAGAGACGATGATCCCATTAGCACAATATCATTGCAAGCACCAACGCCTCTCTCTGATTGGCTCCATGTACTGTAAAGTTACGGTAACAATGGGAACCGCAGATCTTTCGTTGACTGGTCCGTGGGACTGCTGGGATCTCCGAGGACCGGGAGTGGATTGGATTGGATTATCTAAGCGCCCTGCACGGACAGTGGGCGGGCGATCAGTCAAAATGATCAATGTCAGGTGAGTCTTGGCTTCTGTCATTACCTAGAGTGACTTTAGAGGAATTCCCCATTCATCCCTATACATATTGGCTCGGAGTCAGCGGTTGGTAAGAATGGAGGGAAGGTTTAAACCTCCGAGTGCATGGCATTGGCGCTAATTGTTGTAATTTGTGGGCTTTATCCGATTCATACAGTGCGCTACTGTACAGCATACTCATACATGCATTCGCATAGATTAAACTCCTACTTGTTCTCCGGAGTCATACAATTCCTACTGCAAGATTAAGTCTGTAGATTCGAAACAACTGTCTACAGGATCGTACCAAGGATATCAAGTCCTTCGATCCATGGATGTCGCCGATTTTCCCGACACGGTGGTATGAACAGAAAACATAACATGGTGCGATATCGATACAAGATGAGATGATGCCGCGATCTATGGCTCCGTCCTCCATCCGTTCATACCCTATCTACACCGTATTTTACTACCGCTCCATGCGCTCTTCTATGGACGTCATCCGAACCACCATATGGTGGACGTTTCCGGCGGTCACAGGAACATGGCGGGGCAATTGTACGATCGGGCATGTTCGTGTATTTGTAGAATTAACGAGATCTATGATGCCAGTGTTTCCCTTTTGAGATGGAGGGGCTGTCGCCTCGATAGATAATGTAGATAATAGCGTATCAACAGAGTTTTGTCAGTGTCGGTACCGAGTGTCAGTACATACAGTAGTAGAGGCGGTGTGCAAGTGATTGATAGTGGGGAATGCCGAATCGCCTGATATCGATAAGACGCGAATGTCATGACGCCGCTTTCCGCCTGATCGCAGTTAAGCCATGACTCGAAAAACGCGACTACGCAGCATAATTGGTAGGGCTATTCTTCCTATGGGGGTGTATATAATGAGGCTTACAATAAGGCTACATGTATAGAAAAAAAATTTTTTTTTTTTTTTTGTGATGACTGGGGATGCTGATGAGGTCATTTGATATACAAAGTGTAGCTTGGATCACACGAGACCCGCCATTTTAATATTTATTTTGAGCCTCCAAATGTGTCAGTGCGAGCATGTACATACGCACACACGGAGTGCAAGTACGGAGAAGAACAAAGGGCAACGCATACCAGAATAACCAAGAAGTTTCAAGTCATTGAAAGGGTGCGCCATCGAATCAACATGAAACGGCAACAATTTACCCAGAATTCTTTTCTTGAGAAACTCCGGTAAATACGAGTAATGCGAGTAGCGCGATGCATCCGGCCCAAATAGTCTATGCAATTGACCCTATCAAAATACCCACTGGCATGTCGGTTATTGCGTCCCATCACCTGCACGCTGCAGTACTAGCGCTATGGGCTAGTATTACGCTACTGTATGAAGCACGGTTCAACCCAACCAAACCCGTTTGGGAAAATCATTTGCATCTGGGCGGCTGTTGGTAACTTGGTGGTGGGCGGGTGAGTTGAGGGTTGCGCGTGTGGCTGCTGCAATGCGACAGACGTTTTTTATCTGTGTTGCTGGTTTCTATTTCTGTTATGACGTGCTGCGATAAATTCTACGAATGCTTGTACTATGAGGGATATTGCCATGTGTGCGTTCTTTGTCTGATTCGTGGTAGTATTCGTAGTGTCTGCAAGACAGGCCAGATCGGCTCTCAGTTATGACATGCCGGCACAACATTGCGATCATCGAATACATTGAATCGTTGTTGCCTTTTCACGCTAAAATATGGAGTACATTGGTGCACTTTAGCAATCTTCAGGCCGTCTATGCCCGGGCCAGTTTCCTTCTCCCCAGTAATGCAATTCGCTTCCTAAAAAGTGTCCGATGCATCTAGAGACCACTCTCTTATCGTTCAATATCAACATCAAATTCTAGGGGGCCCCACTAATGTTAATCGTGGGGTAGTCATGTACTATTATTGGCCAATTACACTAAACATCCATTTAGGGACATGAGAACCTTCAAATCTACCCGTATACTTCACTGCAAGAGACCGAATATCTCCATCAAGCTTCCAGGAAGCGACATCTACCTTTACTCCTGGTGTATGCAATATTAATCTCACTTAATCCTTGGCATGCTCCGGGCCTCCGATGACCAGGGGAGCACGGCCGGGGAGTGATTGCGCGAGCACAGTTATCTCCGTGGTCGACTTGACAACGATGTTTGAGTGACAGCTTGGATCCAATGGGATTTGGTCGGAGAGAGCATCGGGGGCTTGCCTTTGCATGGGCTAGAACGTATAGGGTTTACTCGTCTCGGGATGCCATATGTGGTAAGCCATCGACTCGGCTGCATCAAGGTCACCTTCTCAATTTCCTGTATTGCGAGGGTATCCGTCATCCATCTTTTGGTACGGTATATCAATGCCGTCAGCTATTCCGGGTGTTTTGACATTTCTCTTTGTTCGTCTTCACCGATAAAGACGTAAAGTTTGCTGCTCCTTTGTGCCATTCGGAGTATTCTATACCAAGCCTCCTTCAAGCGCTAAAACAATTCGACGCCAGTCGGAGCACCGGTCTGCTAGTTTGACTTCGGCCGATGCACGCGTGGACGCCACCATCAGCATATCTGTATCTGACTCCGCCGAATAGTTGCATTATCCCGCTTTTAACCCTTGCGTCCTGGCCGTCCGTTCGCTGCAACTGCTTTATTCGCGTTGTTGATGTTTCACAAAACCGTCGGTGAGCGCGGGGTAGTCGAATGTTCTCGTGTGTGGCTAGTGCTGACAAAAGCCACATATATCCGTCCTCAATTTGCTGGAATGTGGCTTAGCGCTTTCCAAGCTGACAAGCGCATGACGTCGGTGCTGTCAACCTCAATCCAGTTCTCGTTCTCAAATTGTCAGCTCCCTCACTTATTCTGCTTTCTTTCTACAATTATACTACAATGCATCGACAATAATGACCTCGGCGAAGAAATTGACGAATGCTCATAATCCCTACGATCCCTTCGCCCTACCAGATTACGACAACGATTTCATCGACCCCGATGATCTACGACAATTCGAGAAAGCGTTAAGCGCCCCCGAAGCCTCTCCCCTGGTCGCCATCAACGATTGGCGACCTATTAACCAACGAGTCCGGAAATCGAACAATAAACGCAGGAAGCCTCGACGGAGCACGGATGAGACCAGGGAAGGGGTTCTCTACACGCTGTTGAAGTGGCCGTTTCTCTTCACCGTATTTGCCTGGATCTCCGTGCTCAGTCTGATATATGTCCTGACGCGGTGGTATATCTTTATATATGAGCACTGGGTTACGTGGAGGGGGAAGAGGCAACGACTACGACACGAGTTGTCTACGAAGACGAACTACGCGGATTGGTTAAAGGCCGCGCAAGCGCTTGACGCGCATTTGGGCAATGCGAGATGGAAAGAGGTGGATGAATACGCATACTACGACCATCTTACGATCAACAAGGTCGTTGCACAGTTGAAGAAGTCAAGGAAGGAAGCGGAATGGGAGATGCATAATGGGAAGACGAGCACGGGCGAGTCTGCAATTGAAGAGTTGTGCATTCTTCTGGAAGCGTGTGTCAAGAACAACTTTTCTGGAGTTGAGAACCCGCGGTTGTACAGTGAAACGTATTCCGGGACCAAGGATCTGGTGCAAGAATACGTCGACGAGGTTAATGCCTGTATCAGGCTAGTGGAGGACAGCCAGCAGGTTACGAGTGATGAGAAGTACCAGCACTTTAAGCATTTGAACACGAATCTTGGTCGCACTGCGCTTTGCTTGTCAGGAGGAGCTACATTTGCGTACTACCATTTCGGTGTGGTTAAGGCATTGCTTGAGAATGGCGTTCTTCCAGAGATAATCACAGGAACCTCAGGAGGCGCATTGGTCGCTGGCTTGGTTGCTACAAGGACAGATGAGGAATTGAAACAACTTTTGGCTCCCGCTTTGGCTCATCGCATTAGAGCGTGCCACGAAGGTTTCCCAACTTGGTTCCGGCGCTGGTGGCGCACCGGTGCACGGTTCGATACTCTGGACTGGGCTCGTCAATGCAGCTGGTTTTGCAGAGGCTCTACTACGTTTCGCGAAGCGTACGAAAGGACGGGACGTGTATTGAATGTGAGCTGTGTGCCGTCTGACCCTCACTCGCCTACAATTCTCGCAAACTATCTCACGTCGCCCGATTGTGTCATTTGGAGTGCTGTGCTAGCTTCTGCGGCAGTTCCTGGTATCTTGAATCCTGTTGTCTTGATGACCAAGAAGCGTGACGGTACTCTTGCACCGTACTCTTTTGGACACAAGTGGAAGGATGGCAGTCTACGAACTGACATACCGATCAAAGCATTGAACCTGCATTTCAATGTCAACTTTACCATCGTTTCGCAGGTGAGAAATCCAGTTGGTTGTCGAATTGAGACGTGTCTAACATGTGAATAGGTCAATCCCCACATCAATCTCTTTTTCTTCAGCTCTCGGGGATCAGTTGGGCGACCAGTCACTCATCGAAAGGGTCGCGGATGGCGCGGTGGCTTTCTAGGCTCTGCTATTGAACAGTATATCAAGCTAGACCTAAACAAATGGCTCAGAGTTCTCCGGCACCTTGAGCTACTGCCACGCCCCATGGGCCAAGATTGGAGCGAGATTTGGCTCCAGAAGTTCAACGGCACCGTCACCATTTGGCCGAAGAGCATTTCCTCCGACTTCTACCATATTCTCTCCGATCCCAGCGTCGAGCGCTTGGCACGTTTGATCCACGTGGGCCAGCAAAGCGCCTTTCCAAAAATTCAATTCATCAAGAACAGATTAAAAATTGAGGGCGAGATTGTGAAAGGAATCCGGCTCCATTCTCGCACCGGCGATCAGCTAATGTCCCCTCTCCTGCATCGTCGCCAAACATCAAGCGAGCAAGAACCGGCAGATCCGATGGTCAACCATGTTAACCGCAAAATTGCAGAGCGACGATCCAATTACAAGGATGAGTCTCGATATGTCGAGACGTCGGAAAGCGGCTCGACTGGTTCTTCTCGTATTCCAAGTCCTACGCCCCGTCGGGGGAGTAGACAGTTACTTGAAGAGATGCGACGGCAATCTGCCGTTTTCTTTGACGATGCTATTTATGGAGAAGAAGATGCTCCAGCTGAGTAGAATTGCGAGCTGAATTTTGGCTTGGAAAAATTCGTTGGCGAAAACTGGAGTGATTATCGTGCTTCGTTTATATACATTGTGCATAGGATACCATAGCATTAGCGTTGAGTTTCATATATCTTAGTTATAATAGTTGGATTATCCATTTAGGAGTCTGCATATTCGGTCAACAATGATTTCCAAAGTGTCTACTAGGAACGAGATGAAAATCCGAGCTTAGGGTTACCTCGGATTTCACGGATTTCTGATGATATCCGAGATGACCCCCCACATTTTCACCAAAAGGGTCGGGGTATTTATACCGAGAGGACGAACCGGTAGTCAATCAAGTATATACAGCTAGCATCCCTGAATAACTCACCCACGAAGCATTAACAGCACCATTCATTATGCCAAAACCCTCCTTCGACTCCCTCCCCCTCCAAAAAGACGGCCCTCCAGGCAACGCCTGGGGCCTCTTCGACCCCTCCGACGAATGCGGCATGCTCAACCTCCTAACCCCAGAGAAAACCCGCGTCGCCGCCGCAGAAATACAAAAAGGAATCCGCATCTCAACGGACTGGCCGCTGGATGCAATGGCGAGGCCGTGTTTTGGGCGCGCGCCGTTCAAGCAGACGATTAAGAACAAGGCGCCGAGAGAGGTTAATGATGATACGTTGGAGTTTAATACGCAGAGCAGTTCGCAGTGGGATGGATTTCGGCATTATGCGTATCAGGATGCGAGAGTTTATTTTGGAGGTAGGACGTTGGGAGATGTGCTTGGGGGGGCGGGGATTGGGATCCATGGTACTTTTTCTAACTCTAACGCAAGTATATATATTTCACACGGCGTGTATGCTAATGACAACAGCATGGGCTGAAAACGGAGGCATCATCGGCCGCGGCGTCCTCCTTGACTACGCCTCCTGGGCCGACGCAAACAACATCCCAATCGACCACTTCACACCCACAACCATAACAGTTTCAACCCTCAAACAAATCGCAGCGTCCCAAGGCACAGCCCTCCAAGAAGGCGACATCCTCTTCATCCGCTCCGGCTGGACCCGCGCCTACACCCAGCTCTCAGACACCCAAGCTCAAGCCCTAGCCGACATCCCCGTGCCGCCCGCCATCGGGCTCGAGTCCTCGGAGGAGACGCTACGGTGGCTCTGGGAGACCGGGTTTGCGGCTGTAGCGGGGGATATGCCAAGTATGGAGGCATGGCCGTGTCAGGATAAGAGGTTTTGGTTGCATGAGTGGTTGTTGGCGGGGTGGGGGATGCCGATTGGGGAGTTGTTTGATTTGGAGAGGTTGAGTGAGGTTTGTAGGGGGGAGGGGAGGTGGTCGTTTTTCTTTAGTAGCGTTCCGTTGAAGGTGAGCTTTCTTTTCTTTCTTTTGGTGCTGATGTGCTGATGAGATAGGTTCCTGGGGGCGTTGCTAGCCCTCCGAATGGGGTTGCTATTCTATAGTCTACTGCCGGATTTAGGCACGTCCATATGAATATTCGAATATATTGAATCAACCCTCAAGCGCATGTTTCACCTTGGAAATCTCTTTAGTAATCACATGGTGATGCTTCGACACATCCCTAAGCACATCCTCCGCAGACTTATACTCCCCCATCCAACACTTCCTCACAGCCTCCCTCCACCCCTCATGTCCAATCTCATCCAACGGAAATACTCTTTCTGAATAAAGCTTCCTAATCTCATCATCCCCCTTCTCCTCGTATGGCATTCTCCCAACTAGTATCTCATAGAGCGTCGACCCAAGCGCAAATATATCACTCTGCACACTATTCGGCTCCTCCTCACCCCGAGGCATATAATGCGTAGCCCCCTCAATAACCATAGCACCGGAGCCATGCAACGACGACCCCCCAAAATCACTTAGTCGGATGTTTTCCTTTTCATCGACGAGGAATTGTCTTGCTGACAGATCCGAATGGATAATATCCTTCTGGTGAATAAACGAAACCGCCTCAATCGCCTGCCTCGCAACCCCATACCGAAACCTATCATCCACCTTCCCAGTACCTCCCCCCCTCTTCAAAAACGTCTGCAAGTCCCCATGCGGCTCATAACGCAGATCAATGTACTCCTCGCAGCACTGCAGACATCTTGCTATGTGCTTGTGTTCGCCGAGATGGTGGTAGATACGAGATTCGATGCCGAGGGCTTGGACGTTAACGGGGTTTGATTTGTCCGTTGGGAGTTTACGGACGATTTTGTCGTTTAGTTTGTGGGTTGTTGTGAAGCGGCCGATGTTGATTATGTTGTCTTTGGTTGGGTGTTGGAGGTTGTCGTAGTCGGGGTGGGTGTCGTGCTGCGTTGTTTGAATTAGTTGTGAGTGCTTGATACTATGTTCGAGTGTACTTACTAGGTACGTCTCATAGCAAGACATGTTGAATGTTTCTGTTAGAATGGGGTGTTCTTTTGGTTATTGTTGGTTATTGTTATCTGTGGTTGAATTGAATTGTTGCTTCATGATGAGGTATGAACCTTGACGCTGGATGTACCAGACTTCATCGTTAGAGTACTGTTTTCATGTCGGGTCGTATCAATTGACTGATAACTGAACGCTCACTATTTACAGCAATTGTAAACGTCGTCAAATACTGCCCCAATTCGGGGTATGAGGGGTTTGAGTTGAATTATGTCAGAGTATGCGAAATAGGAAAGTCATATCGCGGAGAGCACCAGTACTCCGTATTCCAAGTTGAACCATTATCCTTGTACTCCGTAGACAGAAAGCGATGCTCTAATACCAAATCTTCCAATGTTATTCAGACCAATCCCAAAAGTGTCACTCCAACGCTCAATTCACCATATCCCAACCCGGACAATAGCTACAACTTCCCGAGGCAAATCCGCCGCGGAAAGCTTCCGCCAATACCTCCAAGAGCTCCAAGACGAGAACGATGTCCTCACCATCACCAAAGAAGTTGATCCTCACCTCGAAGTAGGGGCTATAACCCGCAAAGTCTACGAGAATGGCGAAAAGACTCCTTTATTCGAGAACCTCAAGGGCTATGGTAGAATCAAGGATAACGGCCTCTTTCGTATACTCGGAGCACCAGTTGGCCTGAGTAAAGTCCCTGGACAGAAACTTGGTCGGATTGCAAAGTCACTGGGGCTGCCATCTACTGCATCGGGACAGGAGATTATTCAAAAGATCAACGACGCGAAGAGAAAACCGCCTATACCATCGAAAGAAGTCCCCTCAGGACCCGTGAAAGAATACAAATTATTCGGCGATGATATCGACTTAACTGCATTGCCTGACCCATTCCTCCACCAACACGACGGCGGAAAATTCATACAGACCTTTGGCATGCACATCGTTCAAACTCCAGACGGCCGCTGGACGAACTGGTCCATCACGCGCGGCATGATCCACGGCAAATGCTCACTCGTCGGCCCCGTCATCCCCAAGCAGGACATCGGCGTGATCCATCAGATGTGGAAAGACAAGAAACAAGACATGCCCTGGGCATTGTGTTTCGGTGTACCCCCCGCTGCGATTATGGTTAGCGGGATGCCGATTCCCAAATGGACGAATGAGACGGAGTTTATCGGTGCGTTGACGGGAAAACCTGTTGAGGCTGTCAAGTGCGAGACGAATGATATTCGTGTTCCGGGTGATGCGGAGATCGTGCTTGAGGGTGTCGTTTCGAGTACGGAGACTGCCTCTGAGGGGCCGATGGCGGAGTATCACGGGCTTATGTTTCCGGGGAGGAGTAGGGAGTGTCCTGTTTTCAGGGTTGATGCTGTTACTTATCGAGAGAATCCTGTTCTGCCGGTTTGTGTTGCTGGGAGAGCTACCGAGGAGAATCATACTGTTTGGGGTGTTATGATAGCAGCTGAAGTTTTGACTATTTGTCAGAATGCTGGTCTTCCGGTTAAAATGGCTTGGTGTCCATTTGAATCTCATTGTCTTTGGTTTGTCTTGCAGGTTGACCTTACACAGTTGAAAGCATTAAAGACCAACATGAAAGACTTCTGCACGAAAGTCGGGCATGTCGTCTTCGGCTCAAAGCCTGGGTGGTATATCCCCAAGCTCTATATAGTCGGGGAGGATGTCGACCCTACGGACTTGAAGGATGTGATCTGGGCTGAAGCTACACGGTGTCAGCCGGGTGTGAATGAGTTCCTCTTCGAGGAGTATGGGAATATTCCATTGATTCCGTACGTGGGGCATGGGGTTAATCCTGAGACGGAGAGCGGACATCATCGGAAGGTGGTGAGGTGTTGTATGTTTGCGAGCGAGTTTGGAGATGGGGAGCTGCACTGGGAAGAGGGCTCTTTCCGGGGGTCGTTTCCTGTGGATGTACAGAAGAGGATGGAGGATAATTGGAAGGAGTATGGATTTGATAGCTGATTTGTACTTTGCAAGAGATCTGTATTCAGATATGGTTGGAATTTGTTATATAACTAGCCATTTCGCAGTCACGTCTTTGGCAGATTTGAAGTCACCGCCAAGTGAGTAAATAATTTGCAATGCAACTGCTGCTTCGCGAGAAAAGTCCTCCACGAATTGCGTATTCGCAGCCACCGCACCAGCACCAGCATCCTGCATCACCATATCATCCCCTTTCCCAGCCTCAATAGCCTTCCGATACGCATCCTGTATTTGTCCCCCCAACTCCAACACCAGATGATACCCCTCGACCGCCAAATGCGCCAACCCAAGCATATGCCACACACGAGCAAAATTAAACTCCATCTCCTGCCTCTGCTGAAGACTCCCCTCCCTCTCACGCACGCGCCGGTACTCATGCATAAACGCAAGACCCTGCATGATGAGATAATGCCTATTCTCCGACTGCCGCTTAAGCGAGTGATGGATGTAGCACAGCGCAATAGACAAAAGCGTAGCCGGATTCTCATCATCCAGCGCATACGCCCGGTAAAAGTAATTCAGCGCCGGGAAGAAACTATTCCCCGAGTATAGGATATGCCCATAAAGCACGAGCAGTGCAACATCCATTTCCTCAGCCGGGATCGCCTCACCGGTATCGTCGCGGGTGGTGAGTGATGCGCGTTCTTGGTAGACGGATTCGCGAACTGCCTTGCCTTGTCTGACCTGGGGGTTGTTGTCTGGGAGGGTGTAGTCGATTGCCTTGATTTGACGCAGCATGAATTTCATGTTTGGGGAGGAGTGGAAGAGGGAGCGGTGCGGGTCGCCGCTGAGATGGCTGAGCATGGAGAAGAGGCGGTAGGTATCTGTTACGAATTGGTATTCTTTGATGAACCAGCGGGCTTCGTTGGCGAGGGTTTCTTCGTCTTGGACGCGGAGGGCGCATGCTGCTTTTGGTTAGCTGTTTCATTATTGCAGTAGGGGTAAAAGTGGACTGACTGAACCAGCAGACATGGATCAATCGTGTCTTGGGCTTGGAATTGTACCAGACACTTGCGTCTACTGCGGCCCCGAGGGCTTCGTATGCTTCTTCGGGTTCGCCCTGTTCTGCTACGAGTAGGGCATATTGGAGGAACATGTCGAGCCAATCGTCGAAGGAAATTCCGTGGTAGTCAGTGGGTATAGCATCCTGCAGCGGCTCGTCTGGAACGTTCCCTGTGATCATCAGTGTTAGAGCAATACCAACATCACAATGGAAGGTTCCTACCTAGAGACTCCTGAAGACGGCCTGCCATTTCAGCCATCTCGTCCATGAGTGTCCGACCCTGAGACCTTCCAGCCTTCTTCTGCGCCTCTCTAGAATACCCCATAAAGACCTGTCGTTGCAGCGGGTAGAATACCCGATTTGACCGGAACTCTCGCAGCAAAGCATCAGCAATATCTAGCCAATCCTCCATGGCTTCCAAATTTCCTTCTTTGGCTAGCGGATGAAACACTTGCATTTTCGAATACAAGTACTGGATATGCTCTGTCCGGTCTCCTTCTCCTGTCTCCTCTTCATCTTGTTTCCTACCAACCGGCGCAGCAGTGAGTGTTGCAGCGATTCCTTCGGCTTCTGGGGTTTCCTCTTCATATTCTTTTACAACCGGAGCTTCTTCTGGAGCCATCTCTGCCGTTTTGAATTCTTTTGCGAGTTGTTCAAGCCTAGTGTCTTTTCTGCGACGATTGCTTCTCATCTCTTGTCTCTCAAGCAAGACGGTTTCATTGACGTATTTGAGAGCCTGTTCAGTCATTCCGATACTCTCGTATAACTTGGCCAGCTGTGCACGCGAGTCGACGTTTCTGGTGTCATGTTCTGCGACTGTGATGTAACAGTTCTCTGCATCTTCGAGGTTACCGAGGCGCATGTAACAATCTCCCATTGCCATGAAGAAACTGACGTCTGCATACTCGCCTGTATGTTGGAGAGGAGTGTAAAAGCGAAGAGCTTCTTCGAACAGGGTAACTTCTTTGAGAGCGTCCGCGACTTCTCGGAAGAGGTCTCCATAGTCGTAAAGTCGGGCACCTTCGGCGTTGTCTTCTGGGTTTAACCATTCAAAGTGGTGTAATGCTTCGTCTTTGTGGTCGTATCCCATTCTCAATCGGAAGAAACCAAGTTTGATTCGGAGTTCGATTGGAAGACCAAGTCCATAGGAGTCTCGCGGCCATTGCTTTGGGATGTAGCCATCGGTTTTAATACGTCGAGGGGAGTCATTGGAATCCCATTCTCGATCGTCTTCGTGGAAGTCCTCCCATATTGTATCATCACCGCGCCCAAGAAGCCATCTGCACAACGACTTAACCGCTCCAAGGCCTTCATCATGCCGACCTAGGTAGGTAAACAATTCTGCGTAGATATTGACGTCTGACCAGGAAAATTCGGGGGCCTCGTCTGGGTCAACGGTCATGTAGTACTCAACGCTATCAGACCAATAGTCAAACGCCGTCTGTACATTGCTCAGATCAATGTACGTTTCCGCAAGGTGACGAAGCGCCCTGACGTTGTGCGGGGACCCTTTAAGGACACGTTCATAGTCTGTTGCAGCCCGGCCATTATGCCCCAGCTCGCGATAAAGTGCCGCTCTCTGGAACCGAGCATTTAGATTATGCTGGTCGATATCGACTACTCGACTATAACAGTAGAGGGCATCATTCAGGGCTGTCTGCCTATCGTCACCTGCACGCTCCAGGACCATTCGCGCAACCTTGGCCCAGACTGATGGGTCTTTTGGGCGGGTGTGAGCACCGCTGAAAAGCGCGGTTAACGCCTTGTCTTTTTCACCCTGCGCTAGAAAGACTTCTGATAGCAGAGAATGAGCGGCGAACATTTCGGGGTTGATCTGGATTGCGCGCTTCACCAGCTCGGTTGCACGTTCGTAGTCTCCGTCGATGAATGCAGATGTAGCCTCTGAATGTAGCGTTTTGAACTCATGACTAGGTTCCAAAGGTCTGCGCGGTCCTCTCTTGATACCCTTGCCACCTCTGGCACCGTACCGGCCTGAGAACCTGCCGGTACCCCTGCGACGACGTCTTCGAGAGTCGTCTTCATCATCATCGTCTGCGGCTTCCTCTGCCATATCAGGCGATTCTTCATCCTCCCTAGTACATTGTCAGCGTGAAACGTAAAAAAGGCCCAATCAATGTGACTTACGAGTCCTCATCCCCGGAAAGCTCGTATTCTTCTTCCGAGTCATCCCCGACCGGATATTCTTCAGCGTAGTACTCAACTTCGATGGCTGGTTGGTCCGAAAATTGTGAGGGATCGGGAAATGTGCCTCCGTATAGTCTGGGATCCAGCAGAGATGTGTCGAACTCTTCTTCCGCAACAGGTTGTTGTCTATCCTGCACTGCATACTGGACCTCGTCCGTAAGAGGATGCTCCGGGTAGTCCCAATCTGAATGGTTCATATTGACGCGTTTTATACTTTGTCACCACCAATGAGACAGCATATAATAATAGAAGAAGCTCTAATCACATTGGACGACTGTCTGCGTCAAGCGCTGTCTATAGCAGACTGCAGGTGGCCTATCACAGCATTGCGCAGTTTATTTTCTATCCTTGTTGATAAATAAATTTCAATATGATATATATATTTTTCTTTTTTTTTTTTCTTCTAAGCACGAGATTAGCAGTATTCGTCGTAATTCTCCTATGCAGTACGTACCAGCAAGGCACGAGGAACATGGATGTGCCCGGAGAAAAAAGAAAGAGAAAAAAAGAAGAAAAAACAACTTAATGGTGTTGCGAACAAAGACTATTCATCAGAATAGCATAGAATAAAGAAACTATTCGGCGATAGACAAGCAGCTAAATAGACAAGAACTAGAACTAATGCTGGGGTCAAGGTTTGGAGTGGTCCAGTGACTTCTGAGTTGCCGAATCGGGCCAAGTCTCAATCCGATCCTTCGCTTCTTGTTCTTCTGGTCTCTTCTCTCTCTCCCCTTCTCTTCCTCCATCTCCATCCATCGCATCTTCCCCCCATCCTTTTTTGCTCTTTTTTCTTTTCTTCTCTTTATTTTTCTTATTCTTTTGATGCTTCAGATCTTCTGCTTGCTGTGTTTGACACACTTCTGCAGTTGATTCTGACATCCTTTCGTTAAAAGGCAATTGCAAGAAAAAAAGACGGAAAAAAGAAACGGCCACACAAGTCTTCTCTCCTCCTAATTACACACCACTCACGCACACGACATCGCCTTCGTGGCCACCACCGACTCTCCCTCCCCATATTATCTTTGCCAGTCAATTCAGGTCGTGCAGCCACTGGACTGGTCTGTGCCTCCCCTCTCCCCCAATCTTGAATCTTGCCTAGAGCTGTTGTGGTTGGGATATACGAAGTTTCTCTCTACTCAAGAGATATCTTCTTTTTGGTTATCTTTGCGCCGTTTGGAATTCGCTTCCGACCTTCATTTTATTCCATTTCGAAAATACAGCATTTTTTGTTTGTCGACCTAGGCTGTCGTTCGGTATAAACTTTCTACTCGATTTCGCACACAACACAACGCAAACTCAGCAGGAACTGCAGGTGTTTTGCAGTAATATTGTATCGATATTTATTATACCTTGGAGCCGATTCCGAAAAGAAAGGACGCACGATTATCCCGATCGATCGAACCTTTTTTCCTTTCCGATTGAATCCCATCGATATCCGCCTTCATGGCCAGTCATATCATTGGCAACCGCAACAGTACTCCTGACGCATCCAATTCAACCCTTCGTCCGCCGTCGTCTGCTCGCAACCTGGGTTCTCATCAGCTGCGAGCATCCGCCGATATGTCCGGGTTCCCCTCACCTTTGTCTTCCCGCAGTATGCGTCCGTCATCGGAGGTTTTCTACAACCAGCAGTCTCACAATCAGAACAACAATGAGGATGCGCTTGACCGTGCGGGGCAGCAGTGGCTTTCCGACATTGACCAGTATGAGACTACTTTGGAAGAGATGGCGGCAGCTACATTGGATCAGGATTTTAAGGATGAGCTCAGTGCCATTGAGCAGTGGTTCCGGGTCCTCAGCGAGGCTGAAAGGACTGCTGCTCTGTACGCCCTGCTGCAGCAGACCACCCAGGTGCAGATTCGTTTCTTCATTCAGGTTCTGCAGCAGATGGCAAAGAGCCATCCTATGTCTGGTTTGTTATCGCCAGCCAACTTTGGCGAAAAGGGTAAGTCAAATTCACTTCCTGCATATCTGGACAGATGACTGATAACTTCTGCAGACGCCATGTCCAACCGCCTGAATGACGCTATGTCAAAGTTGAACGTCGACAGTTCTCGTAACTCCCTTGGCCGTCCTCCGCCGTCCCCAGGTGCCAAGCGCAACTCGGGTCTCGACTCCTCTACCATCAATGCGATGTTCCCGGATGCTGCTGCGGCCATTGCGCGGAAGAAGGCCGAATTCACCCAGCAAACTGGTAATGCCCCTCCCTCGAACCGTAACAGCGCTGTTTTCGGGGACCGTACGTCGTTTGTTGCGCCTACGATTTCCGCCCCCGACAACAACGAGGGCTTGGGCCAGCCGCCCTCTTCTCCTTGGACTCAGCGTGGTGGATCTGACCAGCCACCAATTGCTCGCCCCAAATCCTCGTCTGGTCAGCAGCCCATGGGGCAATTCAGCCAGCCGTCTGCGTCTTCTGGCTTGCGATCTCCCCTGCCCACCACCCAGACTGCCACGATTCCTGCCCCTGACATCGAGGCGCCTTTGCTGTCACCTTACAATGTTGGAAACGCTAGCTGGGCATCCATGACCAACACCCCTATGACTGCCACCTTTGGCGGCCAGCAACAGCAGCAGCCACAGCAGCAAGCTGATATGGTGGCCAACGCCACCGCAATGAAGCTCGCTGCTCTGTCTACGGTGAACAATCGCATTGCATTGGATGATGCCCGCAAATACCGTCGGGCTCGCTCCAATGATGGACAAGGGAAGAACACGAATGCCAACAACAACCAGAACATGTCGCAAGGCCTTACTAGCCCCGGTCTTCCAGGACCAAACGTCGTCTCTGGGCAATTTTTGAACCCTCAGCAACTTGCTGCATTGCAGGCCCAACAGCAAGCTGCCATGGCAGGGCGACGTTCTCGCCCTACATCTCCTGGAATCGCCATGCAGGGTGGCGCTCTCGGTCCTATGGGATTCACATCGCCGCAGAACAATGGATTCTTGACGGCCTATGATCCCAACAGCGCCCTCCTGGGTAACGGATTAGGTGCTCTTGGAATTGGACAGTTTGGCCTTGGTGGTCACGAAGGATATCTGTCCGACCACTCCGAGGTTACTCGTGGTCGTTCACCGCGCGGTCGCCGAGGTAGCTCGAAGCCGCCGGAGGACCCCACTGACCCGAGCCTCTTGAAGGACATCCCCAGCTGGCTGAGGTCTCTGCGTTTGCATAAATACACCGACCACTTGAAAGATCTCAAGTGGACCGAGCTGGTTGAACTCGACGACAAGGCATTGGAAGAGCGTGGTGTCAACGCCCTGGGTGCTCGAAACAAGATGCTTAAGGTAAGATTCTTGATGGCCATTAGAAGCGAACAGAAACTAACCGTATCATGATAGGTCTTTGAACAAGTCCGCGAGGCCAAAGCGGATGGAAAATTCGAGAGCAATGCGTGATTGAATGCATATATTCATTTCTCTTCTCTTCTCAACTGTTTCGTTGAACGTTCTTACTGCATTAATTGACAAGTTGTCTTTGGACATAAGTGGCAGGATCCGATAATTCTCCATGAGCGATTTGATTGGAATCATGACAAGGTAATTGTTTAGTAATTGATTCAAGTTTCTGTTTTCTGCTCTTTTGGTTACTTCGTGACGAAAAGGACAAACCTTTGTACTTACTACTTGTCTCTCTTATCTATGTGTTTTGACTATATTGGACCTTTTTTGTCAGTTGCCGTTGACTGGTGATGATCTCAATGTACTGGATATGGGGGGACCAGGCCATCTCTATGCCGTGAAGTTACAATTGATATGAGTGAGGATATCTGGAAGGTATAGTAATTGATTTGGATCGGTGTATAAAGTGTTCAATTCGTAAATTGTACTCTGTAGTATGCGCTGAATAGTGTAGTTGGATGCTGTGGCCTGATTGGTCCGTTCCGGCCGCCAACTTTGCAACTCCCGACGACACCGCAGCTCCGGCCAGTCAAGCAACCACATTTCCTCGCTCATTATCTATACACACTGTTATTTCACAGGAAGACATACAGAGCAGACTGAACTGGTATTACATCCTAATACTACACGCGCATACGTTCGACCAACCAGACCCCGACGTCGCTCAATTTCCAACCGATTATCTCGAGAGCTACAAAACAGAAAGAAACCAAGCACAAGAGAATCCAAACAAGAATCCAAAATGCCACCAACAAAACAAGAAATTTCCCTCCTAATCAACCCCCTCGTCCCCGAGTCCGTCCAACACAACAACCGCGTACGTCCCCGTGCAACCCCCATCCCCCAAACTACCCCAACTAACCATCTCTCTCCCTACAAAAACAGATCCTCTCAAACCTCCACTCCATAACCTCCTTCCTCCTCGGCCTCTCCGCGGGCATCCTCGCCCTCCAATCATCCACCGGCTTCGCATTCTACTTCCTCGGTACGATCACCGTCTCCGGCTTCTTCCACGTTCTCCTTCTGTATCGATCCGGTGGAAAGGGTACTGGGTTGTTTTTCCCGGGTGCTGGGGGTGGGGAGATTGAGGATATTGGTATGGATGGTAGGATAGGGAAGACGCAGGGGAATGGGAATGTGTTGAGGAAGGGGGCTTGGAGGGATGTTTGGTTTGGGGGTGGGGTGCTTGGGGAGGCGTTGTCGGGGTTTATCTTGGGGTGGTCGGGTCTTGGGGGTGTTTTGAGGTGATTCGGTTGCTTTTACTGGGTGGGAGGATATAGGGGAATATTGGGTTTGGTATATTGGGATACTGGGTTTAGGGGTTGGTTATGTGATGGTGTACTTGTAATTGGTGTGCTTGGACTGTACCACTGGGCTATTCTGGCTTTATAATGGCATTCACACAAAAGATTGACTGCAAGAACATACAGACGATACATCTCAGTCCATATCCACCAACAAAAATGTAGATTGAAATTGACGTTATCAAAAAAAATGCTTTATGCATGGCCATGGCATGTATAGGACCCGCTTGTTCAAAGATAACTTTTTCGACTTCCGAAAACGCTCGAGACTCACCAAGCCTACGGTCTTTGTTAACATGCCTGATGATGCCAATCATTCAGGACTAACACAATGAAGCCGCTGCTTCTCGTCTTCATCAGCACTTTCGAGACATTCCCGTGCTGCGAAAGAAATTGCGAGGTTTGCTTGAACACTTCCTGATATTCTGATCCACTTAGATATGGGCACACACATCCCTTAACGAGCTAGTAGACGAGAGAACCCGGAGAGATAGCCGTAGTCCCGAAGAGCACCGAAGTGGGAAAACAACCAATGCATCCTCCAATGATACCTTGACACCTTTTTGACCATAAACAAACCCTTATCCGGTGTAAAGCCCTCGCGAAGAGTATCCAGACACATGCACTGCACCATCACGAGGGTGTCATCTTGCCGTCGCATTTGAGAACCTTGTCCTTTCGGGCCAATGAAAAAATGTTGTCTGTGAAGGAGAAGTCGTAATCAGTCGATTCGCTGCGGATTTGATTTTCAGCCCTATGGGAAGGTTTGCTTCCGGGCAAATGAATATTTAGTGGAGACAGAATTCCTCGATAGTCTTCAATGGAAATCTTGTTCCCGGGCGCTGTTCTGGCCGGTATTTTCGGCGGCCATCACCGTCGAGCATGGTCCGAAGGGAGCACGCTACCCGCGTTGCGCTCGTGCATGCGGTCCGCGGCAGCGGAAGTGTCCTTCCACTTCCATGGAGCCCTCAGGTCACTTGTCGTCAAAGTCGCAGCTGGGAGGGTGGATGAACGACATAGCGTTGATGGTTGTGCCACCACCAAGAACGCAGCCGGCCATTCCTGCAATGTCAGATTAAATGTATAACGTGGTCGGTTGTTTTCGGTAGAATCTCAATGAAACACGTTCAACGACGGAGCCCGAGAAGCAAATGACCTTCGTAAACAATTTCTCAGCAGCTAGTGGTAACACTACTCGTTTGATGGAGGATTTTGAAGCGACTCAGTGTGATGTCCATGATTCTCAAGGAGTTCACATGGTGACTGTTCTGGTGAAGTCCCAGAGTGTTTTTTTTTTAGGAACGACATCAACGATCTCGTGAGATATACATAAGAATTCGGTCAAGTTGTTTTGAGCTTAATGAACCGAATCTTCCCACCAAAACGTCATATACCCACCATTCCTCACTTCCACCATGTTGTTCTTGGGTCTTCTTTGAAGGGGGTGAGCGAGAATCTGGCGCGGCAGCTAAATCGTGCCTTAAACAAGGAACCTTAACGGGAAAGTTTCGTTCCCGTTCCCAGCGTAAACTGTAGCGGCGATGTCTGCCGGGGAGGTTCTCCTTCGCGCAAAGCCCTTAGCAGCAACATAGTCATTCCACCTATCTATAGCGGGCCGCTAGTCTTGATGGTTACCATATTCCCCAAAGACTAATTCGTGGAACAGAATGCCTCAAAGAAATGCATGCACAAGAGCCAAGCTTATGTTTCCGTAAATGCGCCAGATAGGAAATCTCCGTCGTCAGGCTCTTCTATAGAAGTCATTTTCACCAAGTAGAAGCGAGAAACCGAACTGAGCCTAATTCTCTCACAATTCTCTGTCATTCGGAGGGTGTCAGGGTTATCTGAAAGTCGGTGTTGAATGTATATTTGCGAATATGTCGGTCTCAGCAATCCGTACGGCGAGGCATTTAGAAGCTGAAGTTTCCCAGCATCACGTTCATCATAATCACTGTCAAAGTTAGCGAGATCATCTCGAGCATAGAATTAAGCCTCGGAATAGCAATTTCACTCATGAGTTCACTTGTGAAACCATCCTGAAGTAGACTCGCAAAAAGATCCAGAGCCCGATATATTTCATTTCTCAAGAAAATGGTAGCGTCTGCGCTGAATGTCGCGAGTTGACGTCTTCATCTGTAGATCACGTGACGTTGTAGGAAGTTTTTAAGCCATCGAGGCATACTTGAACCAATAGCTCGTAGATTCGGGCCCAGAATCACCATAATCATCACGGAAGCGTTCTTCTTTCGTCCAGACATTTGAGGAACAGCAATGTCTCTGATATCCGTATTTCAGACTCCAGGAAGCCCGCAAACATGGGCAGCATCCATAGAAAGAGATCCGTATCCTCGAAGTCATCAGTGGACAAGAGGAAAAAGTTTCCATCGCCATATCCACGGCGCAACCTCAACCTCATGGCATCCAGTCAGTCACTCAATCGAGAATCACGAGATCTCAATCTCGTGCTACGGAAGCAACCCAGTCGACTGTAGCGCGGACGACTCGTTCAAAGTCTCATGCTGCGAGCGAAACTGCATCCATTCCTCTATCTCAAACGAGAAAATCTGGATACCAGACTCTGGCCACAAGCGAAATTTCGCCAAAGCCCCAAACTTATGCGAAGAGTGCTCGATCCCGACCTCGGGCAGCATCAAATTCCACGCAAAGCCAGAAGAAGACTGGAGAATCGTCGAAGACAAAGAAAAAAAAAAAAAAAAAAAAAAAAAGCCAAGGTCTCAGAATTTGGACGCAACTGAATCAATGTCAAACTGATAAGAAGCAGCTCTCCAATAGAATCATCGAACAATTCCGCAGTGACACCCTCAATAAACCGGAGGGTCTTCTTGAGAGTCGAATCTCAAGACGTGGCCGTATTGAGCACCACTTCGTGATTGTCGGTGCAATCAGCATTGTTTTTGTGGAAGTTAAGAAGCAGCTGATTTTTGGCAAGGACGGACTGGATGTAAGAGGACAAGTCCTTGCCGAATGCGCTGGTATATTTAACCCCAAGTAAGCATTATATATCTGCTCACATTAGTTAGAAGAGTGTGACTATTCCAATGGGCGGGCAGGCCATTGGACACCGATACTTGTCGTCCTTTGTGACGGGAGAAATTTTGAGTATATCGTCATGAACTCTTCTGATAGGAAGATTTATTCAACGGGATGGACTCCCGGAATCCAGGCCGACACGCGTGATAAGTCGCGTCTTCTGTTGTCTTTGAAACGGGGTCAACGAATTTCCTTTGGCTTGTTTTGAGCTTTGGTACTAACATCTCGCAGTGACAGAGAACTTGTTTGACTGGTTCCTGATGTCTTTCATGAATGGTATCAGATCCCTTGCCAACCTTTCCAGCAATCGTTCCAAGTTTGAAAAGCGAATCTCCACTGAAAAATGGACGAGCTCTCTCGCCAGTGTTGAGCGGGCTCACAGCCTGCTAAGACAGGCCGACCTGGCTTCGGCAGAGACCGAATAGGCTACTACAGAGTCCATGGCCCGTGCAGGTGTAGAGCAGCTCCATTTGAGGTCTGTAAAGTTTCCTTTCCAAGTAATAACATCATCATGGTCATCATAAGTTTTGCCTGATCGCGACCTGATCCTTTATACACTAGCATATCTGAACTTCCCAAAAATCTTCCATATGATGAGGATCTAAAGAGACGAGTGGGATGAGAACGTCTGCCTCGAAGAGGCTCTCTGTGAGTCCGGTTTCTTCCAACTGGTGCGCAAAGTCTAAGCGCGGTCCATCTACTGAGGGATCAGATTCGTTTGGAGTCTCCAAAGCAGCAGGCATACAATCTGTATGTTTCGTTGGCTTGCTAAAAATGAGGTTTGCTGTAGTGTTATTATCGTGGGTAAGATCAGGATCGTTTATGCTTCTCGTGGGATCTGACTTTTGCTGAATAAACCACAAGGATGCTCACTGGGTCAAAAGGGATTGCTTTATGCCACTAATCAGATGTGGCCAGGAGCCTCTCCGGAGCTTATTAGCCCGTATTCTTGCCGATTAATATGGGCTGAACTGATGGGTGTTGCTCTGTTATCCGTGAAGAATGAAGGGATGAAATCATGGCAGATATAAACCGAGGCATAGTTATAGTTAACTAGTTAACTTAACTTATGAAGAATGACTAATGGCTAAAAATAAAAGAAGGCAAATTAATGTAGACTTCAAGACAAGCATAAAAGTGAATAACCTATGTTGGTGTTCTTCGGGCAAATGGGCGGAAGCCCTAGGTTACCTCTTTTTTAACCTAGGGGTATTCCTACAAGGAAAACCCCGGAAAGTACGTGTCTTCTGTCATTCCTACCGCCTACCAATTGAAGCTAGCCACTTTCATGAGACAGAATTCAGCAAGATGTTAACATGAGTGAAATTCTGACCGACGATTTGAAGAAATGAAGTCTATTATGTACTCCGAAGGAGATAATCAAGTCAAGTCTATCTATATACAAGCAAAACCAACCAAGGCCATCCAAACAGGGGTATACCTAGCAGAACATTAAAACAACGTATGCAAGCCATGGTGGGATCCAAAATCGCTCAGAAGTAAAGCAAAATAGAAGAGAAGATATGCACGTCAAGAAAAAAAAGCATAAAGCAACAGAAGATAGATGAGATCGACCTCCACCAGGGAATCAATCGATCATGCATCTTCATCACCACCATCTTTATTGTACGGTTCATTTTCGGGTGTATTTGCCAATGCGCTCTGCAGCGCACTGGTCAAATCAATATGGAAGAATGGCCGGTTGATGCCCTGCACCATCGCCACCTTGCGCGGGTTTTGGCTCTGGTACGCCTTGCTGGACTTGAGGTCCTTTTGCAGCTTGTCGTCGCGAGAGCTGTTGCTGCTGCCGTCGGATGACTCCTCGATGTCGCGCGTGGTCTCGTGTGTTGTGGTTTGGGACGAGTTCTTCAGACCCTGCTCGGGGTCTTCTCCCTTCGAGGGAGGCGGGTTGATCTGCTGCGTTTGTTGGTTGTTGACGATCTCAGCGTGAGCGGCGGCGGAGGAACTGCCCTCGATCTCGGCCACGCTGAAAATGGGTTTCCAACGGTGGAAGCCTTCGTCAGATGCAGGGGTGGGGAAACCAAATCCGGCAGAGGCAAGGCCACGCTTGGTCCAGCGGTTGTTGATGTGGGCAAAGTGCCACTGGACGCGCTCGGGGGCGGCGTACATGTCGAGTTGGTTGCGGACGTCGATGAGGTTCTGGATAGAGGTCACGTCGACGTTGTTGACAGACGAGAAATCGAGAATAACGGCGCGGAGAAGGGGCAGATACTTTTCCTCCTCTGCCACATTGCCCTTACGCGGGCCTGGGTCGTTCCACGGGCGGTCACCGGGCCTCGAGTAGGCGAAGGGGTTTGTGCGGCGAGTTTGCGAGAAAATGTTCCGGACCAGGTTATCGGTGTAGTGATTGGCGTTGGGGTAGTTGAATCCTTCGGAGAATCGGTAAATGAAGATACCGGGGAATGGCTGCTCCACGTTGACCTCCGGGTTCGATCCGTCGTTGTGGCTTATGGGGAGGAAAATCGAACGGTGCAGCTGGTCCTGATCCTCAGAAGAACGGTTGTTGACGGGACCATACTTTCCTTGCTCATCCACGAGGTGGTCGCCAATAACAGAGTGAATGGTCACTCTGCCCATGAACTGGCCGCGGGCCTTGGCCACGCGGAACAGCAGAACAGCGGCGGAAATGCAGATGGTGCAGTAGATGCCATCTTCAATGGTGGCGAAAACGGAGACAAGCACACCGACGAAGAAGATAATAACGTCCAAAGGCGAAACGCGCCAGAATTGGTAAACCGTGTTGGGAGGGGTGATCAGGTCACCAACAGCGTGAATGATGACACCGGCCAGAGACGATTTGGGGATGTAGAAGAAAACAGCCGTCAGGGCGTAGATAGCGATAAGGACGAGAACGGCCGTGATGCAACCAGCAAGGGGAGTCCGGACACCAGCCTTGGACTTGATGGCGGTACGCGAGAAGGAGCCAGTAGCGGGGTAGGCACCGAGGAAAGGACCAAGCAGGTTGGACACACCGATGGCAACCATCTCCTGGGAAGGGTCGATGGTGTAGTTGTTGACACGACCAAAAGACTTGGAAATCGCAATGTGTTCGATCAAGAGGACAATGACGGCAGCGGGAAGTTGGTTGGCGAAGGCTTTGATAATCCTGGTGTTGATAACCGGGACAGCGGCATTCTGGAACCCTCGTGGCACTTGGCCAATAACCTGGAACAGAGGGTCATCTTTCCGGTGCAGGTTGACCGCAGCACTAATCATGGTGTAGAACAGAATGACAAAGACGGTGCGCAGAGTGGCGGCAAAGAAGAACATCTTGGCCCGTTGAGGGTACTTTTTGGCGCCGTAGCTGCAGGCGAAACGGATGATATATAACATGACAAGAGCGGAAACACCCATGGCGGCGTCGATCTTCGCGCTGGGGAGGTACTTGAGAGTGCCAATGATAACTTCGTAGGTAGCACCTCGAGTGCTGAAGTCCGCGGTCTGTCCAAGCAAGCTCTTGACCTGGCCGGCGATAATGTTGAGAGCGGAACCGGTCATGAAGGCTGAAATGGCGGGAAGAGGAATGAAATCAACGATAAAACCCAGTCGGGCCAGACCCAAGAAGCAGACGATTGCACCGCAGAGAATGGCCATGGCGGAAGCGATGATATGGCCCTCAATATCGGGTTCGATTTCCTTAGCCTTGAGGACGACGGAACCAACGACAGTAGACAAGACAGCAACGGGACCGATGGTGATATCCTTGGAGGTAGCGAAAAACCAGTAGATCAAGACACCCATGAAGGACGAGTAGAGACCGAACTGCACATCCAACTCGGCCAGTTTGGCGTAGGCCATACCCTGAGGGATGACAACACAACCGACCGTGATACCTGCGACCAAGTCTCCGATAAACCATTGCCAGTTATACCGGGTAATCCATGACAAGAAGGGGAAGAGGCTGTAGACATAGAAACCAAGGGCACGCAACGAGGGGGTGTGCTCTTTGATCCATTCGTAAGATGTAGGTTCGGGTTCGAGGTAGGAGTAGGTTTCCATAGTGCCAGCCGAAAATGTCGACTCGCCCCGGGTGATGGCGTCTTGGTTGGCATTGAGAGGGTCACGGTAAGCGACCTGGATCCCAAGGCCTTTTGCCAGGCCATGGCCGACCTTGGTCTTGAGGTCTTCTTTAGACATGATTGGGGATGAGGATGGGAGCAAGGCTCAGCCTGGCTCAATCGAGCTCTATAGGGTAGAGGATAGAGAAGAAAGCCCTTTCCAGAAGGGATAGACACGGAAGTGGTGAATCAATCGTATATAGGTCGAGACAAGAGAGTATATATCAGTGGTGGAGGATATATTCAAATAAATCCCATGGCGAGATCGCGAAAGGAAAAAAAAAAAATAAAAATAAAAATAATAATAATAATAATAATAATCGGAGGCCAAGTCCGATGTCGTGATCTCGAGCTGGTATGGCAGCACCGGGAGTATTTCTGTACAGGGGTATAGTACTTTTAAATTGAAGACAATAAAAAGACGATGTAATATCCAAAATAAAAAGAGAAAAACCTGTGGGTGGCGTTATAAACCCTAGACTCCGTTGTTTTGCCGCGGACTATGCGCAGACAATGGATGGAAGATAAAGCAAGAGGAAAGAAACTGAGAAACAGAGCAGTTTTTGAACGAGGCCGTTGAACTAGTCAAAAATATAGCAGAGGTACGTATGCGGATGACAAGTTGATAGCAGTAATGGATCGTCAGGATAGAATTAGTAGCAACAAGTCTGGGATTTGCCGCAGGTTCTGGACCCGATGACGACGGCGGCGTGGGCCCGTGGTTGTTATTTTATCTCGGGACAGTCCCGTAGTACTCTGTACAGCCATCCATGGTGTTCTATCGTTTAATTGTACTAATTGTACATTTTCTATGGGTACAGTCAATTGCCCTACTCGTACTAGACACATACTACAACTACTGTACAACACCCGTATGTCTCATAACTGCGTATATAACTGCCATTCTCTGTCCGTCAGCGCCAAGCCACTAGTATCTCCGGTTCCAGACCCGCTAGGGCAAGGGCTTTCCCACCCACCAATAATAAACTACCCAGCTCCGCGCTACCCCACAAGCCTCGTGCAGTGATCCTCCACCTTTAATCCCTGTGCGCCAATCAGAATTTTGTCAGAACACGCCATCGCTTTGACCGATGGTGAAACCTGCGAACGGCTGCCGAAGGGGCGTTCTTGAAGATTGCCTTTTTGGGAAATCTTGCTCCCTTTTTGCCCTCGAGCACGTCCGGGGTAGCTGAGCTTACTTCGTTTAAGGTATATATCAATGTGTTGGTCACGACTCTATAATCATTCAATCCCACTTGTTTTTCGTATACTCTTAGCTACTATCCTCGTGTTCAATTCCATATTGAATTACTAATGGAGATGCACTTCTCCGGCATCACACAATATGTACCCCACTCTAACACCATCCAGATCAAAATCACATCATCCATCTTATCGCTGCTTGGCCTACTCTTTTAGGTTGACTTGCCACACCTTGACAGGAACTCAACTTTAATTCTCGCATTGACACTGCCAATCTCGTTGAGACCTCTCTTTTCGTCCTCGCTTACATATAACCGGGTGCTCCGTGTTTTTTTCATAGTCTACGGAGTTCCAGGGATCGAATCCTGTCATCATGTCATTCTTGGCCCCATGATCACATATAGAGTTACGCTTATTTGCTTTTCCAAACTCATGGGCTCGTATAGAGAGTTGGGTAACCAATGAGACTATGTTTAGATTAATCATTAGCTTGGCCTTCTATCACGCGAGTGCAAGTATTTATACAAGAAGAAGCAAAGAATGTTCAAGTATCTCCACGGAGCAGGATATCGTAGCACACTTCACGAAATTACGATGCATGCTCGCTTAACGCGCTCCATAAAGTAGCTTATTACATGCAGGTCGTACGATCTGACCAAGGCTCTGGACTCGACTGGACTGAGAATTATCCCTCATGCAAGACAGGTACTCGACCATCCTGAATCCTGTACACCGGAGGGAAGTGAAACCATGTACTGTCTTCTAGATTTGGTCACTTGCACGTAGTAGTGTTGCTGCTGAAGCGGTTCAAGTGTTTAGATGGACGGCACGGTTACATCGTCCGTTGGTATAGTATCAGCTGAGCTTGTTATGTCGTGCTACTGGTTCTGTCCATGTGATTTCATGGCGCATTTAAACTTCAGTCGAATGTGTGCGGACTTGGGAAGGGGACGCTCCCATAATGCATGGGAAGACACTACGTTCCAGTAAATTGCAGATATAAAATGGAGACGAGAGCGTACGGACACAAGGCTTCTTGGTTATGAACGTGCAAAGCTTGAGCTCCTTGACCAGAGTAACCCGTCGACAGTGCACAGACTAAGAATAACACCGTCCGTGTCTGAGAGCCAGTTGATACAAATTCGTATAAATATATCTCAGACTAGCTTCAGTAGTTAATCTGAGGTGCATTGATCTCAACATGAAACCGCAGATCGAATATTGCATTCGGCCTAATTTTAGGGTTATATCTGAAACAGCAACTTTATTATCAAATTCCGCTGAAAGCACCTTACTCGGACCTCTGCCACTAGTATACGGACTAGTCCATTCCAATATGAGAGCTGTCTCCAAGGCAAACCAAAGCAATCAAATTGATTGATCTATAAACATCGACACGCTCCGACCCATATCATTCCCATTCAAACAATTAACGAAATTCCCACCATGGTCTCGTTCATCTCATCACCTCCAACCCCATTCCCATGCAACCCAATGAGCAACCGCATTATGCAAGGGAATAAATTAAAACAAAAGGAAAAAAGTTCATAACAGGAATGGGGGAAGAAACATAAGAGGAAAAAAGATTCCATTGTCATCTCCCAAGTCTCATGAGCGAAACGCCAGCCAGCAAAAGCAAATCATAAGCGAGAAAGAAAAAATAAACCCAGAAAATCACCAGGGCTGAAATGGTATCATAAAATTTCATCATTTGCCCCAGCAGCGTCAACTTCATAAATCCTGTCCCAAATTTGAGTCGTTTACTGAGATGCACACTGCACCCGCTCAGCACCCGCAGGAACATCGTCGTCATCCTCGTCCATGCCAGCGGCAGCACCCTGTGCCCGGGCCTGCGAATACTCGCTCGAGTCAACGTTCTCGGGCTCAAAGTCTTCCACCATGGCGTCGGCAGGAGCGTGGGTCTGTTCCATACGAGGAGGCAGAACCTGATCCAAGAGGTGAAGGTTCTGCAGCTGGTCCTTCTCGGGGAACTTAACATCGAACTGAATGTAGAGGTTACCGTGGTCATGGTGACGGAACGAAGGCATACCCTGGCCCTGGACCACCTTGATGGAGCCTGGAGATGTCTGTTAGCATTGTATTTCTCTTCACATACAGCTTCACGCGAACTTACCAGGAGTGACAACCTCGCCAGGAGCGATGTTCACGTTCAACCACCGGTCGTCAAGGTGCTCAATGGAGAAGCTGCCTCCGCCAAGAGCCGTAAGAAGATCAATCTCAACTTGGTAGAAAAGGTCGTCCTCCTTGCGCTGGAACCGGGGGTGAGGCTTGGTCTCAATTTCGAAGACAACATCTCCGGGCATGACACCAGGAATCTGGTCACCCTCCCCGCGGAACTCAACCTTGTGGCCGTTCCTGATACCCTTGTCGACGTGGACGTGGAGCACCTTGCGCTCAACAATAGTCTTCTTACCACTGCACTTCTTGCAGCGGTCCTTGTCACGGATCATCTCTCCCTCACCGTTACAGTCAGGGCAAACGGTCTGGAAGCGCTGGATCATGGGACCCATCTGGCGCATCATGGTCTTCATACCGGAACCATTGCAGCCGGTACACGACTTGACGGCGCCTTCCTTACCACCGCGGCCCTCGCAGCCAGAGCAAATGACGGACTTCTGCAACGCCAGCTTCGAGACCTTGCCGCGGTAGATGTCCTCCAGGCTGACCTTGTGAACGTGGTGGATGGTACGGGCCTTCTTCGGACCAGTGTCTCGCATACCACCGCCGAACATGCCGCCAAACGGACCACCGCCGCCGCCGAAGAACTGCGCGAAGAGATCCTCAGCGCCCATTCCACCACCGGCGCCACCGCCCTCGAGACCTTCTTCACCGAGTTGATCATAGACGGAGCGCTTGTCCGAATCCGACAGAATCTCGTAGGCGTGGGACAGTTCCTTGAATTTATCGGCGGCTTCGGGGTTGTCTGCGTTCTTGTCTGTTCGCAACGTAGTGGTCAGTATTCCAAAACTAAGCCCGTCTTGAACCTGGAATCAACATACCAGGGTGGTACTTAAGAGCACCCTTCTTGTAAGCCGACTTCAACTGAGCCTCAGAGGCTGAATCGGGAACCTGATTGACAGCTTGTCAGTTTCACCGCTCCGACTAAATCATGAAACAGATCACAAGGTCCTTACCCCGAGGATGTCATAAAGCTTGGTGTCGTGAACCATTGTGAAGGTCTAGTCTAAAAGCTGACGGAAAAGAGGGGAAATCGAAGAACTTTTCGGTAATGTGCGAATCGAAAGGAGGACGAAAAAGAAAACAGAAGAGGATATCAAACGCCCAGAGAAAGAGGAAAACAGCCTTGGTCTTTTGACCAGCGACTTCGATATTTGAGAGTGGGATTGGGGATGGGGAAAAGGTGAAAGAAGGATCTTTTGTGAAGATGTTTCGATTATCACCGCGGCGGCGATAGGCAGCGGCTGCTTTGTATTGGTAATACAGGCTCCTGTAACTTTGGTAACCCGATTACCAGGGTCAGACACCAAAGAACCACAAAATCAAGTCGTAATACGTGTTTATTTCACAACCAGTAGGTAATCCAGATACCGGAGATAAAGATGAAGCGAGAATTGGTCTAAAACAACTACAAGAAGGGCAATCCCGATATAAAGAGCACCCCAGAAAACTACCAATACCCCTCCTCGTACTCAATCTCAAAACACATTAAAACCCGACTGTTCTCTCTTCTCTCACCTGCGCATTCTGGCTGCTTCGATTTCCCGTCCAGAAGGGAATATGGCCCGAGCGCTGGTACCGTCGGTCTTCGATGTGATTCTTCGCCTTTCCAACGCTTTCGCCGCCTTTCCATGAAGGCAAATGGTCTTTGTAATTACGCGTCCGTGACAGGGTTCCAGTATTCCAGGTGGCAGTTGCCTACTGTTGAGGGGGTAAAATACGGTATTGTATTTCCTTCCATGCGCTTCCACGGAATAGAGGCAGAGATCTATCATAAGGAAAATTTGCCTCTACAAATTAGAATAGGAGGAGGGTGTATTAAGTGGCAATATTAGTCAGTTTAGGTTAATTAACACCAATATTAGAGATAAAGTTAAATGCCCGCAATGCATCCTTCAGTTGTTATGTGCGGAATTTATGCACAAATTTTCCTTATGGCTTGTTTCCAAGCCTCAGGCATTAAGATGCCACAGTGGATGGCACTTAAACCACTCGCTTATCAGAATCCGGAGCCATACGGAATTTGACTGCGAAACGAGCTAGTCATGACAGTATGTAGTAGTCTATCTTGTAGTGTTATCTGTAATCTGTAGACCTAACTGCCCTCCTCACCTTCAATCCCCTCAACTTACTTCTGTACTTACTCCTACATCATCAACACAATGGACCAAGACCCCGGTTTTATCGCTGCCGTCGAAGAGGCCAAGAAAGGTGCCGCTGAGGGTGGTGTGCCAATTGGCGCAGCGCTAGTCTCCAAGGACGGCAAGATCCTGGGACGGGGTCATAACATGCGCGCTCAGAATGGAAGCGCCATTCTGCACGTTAGTCCTTCCTTCTACATGCAAGGCATAAAATAAGCTCACGTCAAACTTGTAGGCCGAGATGTCCGCTCTTGAAAACTCTGGACGCCTGCCCGCATCGGCCTACGAGGGGGCCACTATGTATACCACCCTGTCACCCTGTGACATGTGCACTGGCGCTTGTCTACTCTACAAAGTGAACCGGGTGGTTATTGGTGAGAACAAGAACTTCATGGGCGGCGAGGATTATCTTCGCGCTCGGGGTAAGGAAGTGGTCGTGTTGGATAATGAGGAGTGCAAACACTTGATGGAGAAATTCGTCAAGGAGAAGCCTGAGCTCTGGTAGGTCTTTCATATGCTTTTTGAGATTCCCAGTCGCTAGACGTCACGGGATCTAATGGTCTTCAGTGGTCCTTCTTTACTCGGATTCACCATGTTGCCCCAGTAATGTACTAATTGCAAACTTTTAGGAATGAGGATATCTCTGTTTAGGTCAGGCGTTTGGTGGTTCAGGTCAAGGTGTTGTGATTGAAAGGAGTTTAGTCATCGATCATGTACATAAAGTGAATATTCAGACATTGTAAGTACTCATTCGCATGAAAATCGATTGGCTTATGAAGTTGTCAACCGGTGGATTTCTTCGAAGAAGAACTTCAAGTCATCCGGCTTAACGAACGGAGTGACACCTGCAATTGTTAGTTTTGTGTGGACAATATTGAAAGAGTGCGTGTCATACCATGTCCCAGGTTGGCAATCCATCCTTGTTTGCCCTTTTGGAACCCATCAACCATAGTCTTAACGGCTTCCGCGATAGCCGGGCGGCCTCCATAGAGCGCGCCAGGGTCAGCATTTCCCTGGATAGTCACACGCCCATTCGCGATCTTGAAGGCCTCGGCCGGGTCATGCAGCCAGTCGAGACCAACAACGTTGTAGCCCGACTCGCAAAGATCATCAAGCGCATACCACGCGCCCTTTGCGAAGACCGTCATCGGCACTGGCTTCAATCCCATCTGCTCCAACCTCTTCGGCAGGTTGGCAGAGATATGGCGCAGATACGGAAGAGCAAAGCTCTTGAAAGACGCCGGAGAGAGCTCACCGGCCCACGAATCGAAGACCTGAACCAACTGAGCTCCCGCCAAAACCTGGAGAGCCAGGTATTCTACACAGATATTTGCGATCTTCTGCAGCAATGCCTGCGACTGCTGCGGGTACTTGTAAAGCCACGTCTTAGCCTGGACGAACATCTTGCTTCCTCCACCCTCGACCATGTAACATAGCAAAGTCCAAGGTGCACCACAGAAACCAATCAGTGGCACCCGACCCTGCAGCTTATGCCTAGTGAGCGTAATAGCCTTGTATACGTAGTCCAGCTCATCCTTGACATTGACATCTTTCTGTATGACCTTCTCGTATTGACCGTCGTCCGGCGACTGGAGAGGGTCGGGGAAGTGAGGGCCCTTCTTATCCACCATCTCGACCTGCATTCCCATGGCCTGGGGGATAACCAGGATATCCGAGAAGATAATGGCGGCATCGATCAGACCGGCGTATCGCTCGACGGGTTGGATGGTAATCTCCGATGCAACTTCGGGCGTCCGGCAGCATTCGAAGAAATCGCGGCCGCCTTTGGCTTCATGGTACTCGGGGAGGTAGCGTCCAGCTGTAAAACGATAAATATGTCAGTCTCTCCCTTCATTCCTTCTCAAATCGACAGCAGAGTCATTGGAAACTCACCTTGCCGCATAACCCATATCGGAGGACGTTCCACTTTCCCGCCTGCAATTACGTCAGTTTTGTCTCAATTGGAAAACTTCAATTTGAATACCTCTTGCGGCTCTGAGTAGAAGATCGTTCTTGAGAGGTTCAAATTGTTTCTGCATTTTGGCGAGATGGTGTGTCGTTGTGATGAAGGGACCCTGGAGAGGCGGGGCGATATTTTATCAGCTCGGCGTCTCGGCCCATCCGGCGCTCAACGGGCCCGTTCTACGGGAGTGAGTTCATGTTGCCCGCAAAGTGATAATTGTAGACTCGCATGGCTTGTAGCATGTCATACTTGAAGGTGCTAATTATTTTACATGGATCTACCTAATCATTGCAATCCCAATTGTACACATTCCTTTCACATCAATCATCTTCGCCTTTTCTCTTCCGGAGATTAGCCATGCCGTACGTAGACTCATTCAGTTCCTTTCTTTGCTTCCCCTCAGCTGCTTCTGTGATATCCGAAGTACCCTGGGTGTTGATTGCTCTTGTCAATTCATGGACGGGCTCCCATTCCAGAGATTCTGAGTCAGCCTTCACGTGGAATGCTTCCAAGAGAGTCTGGGGAGAAGAAGGGCTTTCCCTCCATTCTTGAGTCGATCCAGCCTTGCGAACACCGTCAACAGAAACAACAATCGCTTCATTGTTTCTCGTCAGGTCAAGAACATTGCCAGAGAGCTGGATAGGGTTGTGGGCCTTCAGTGTCCCGGTTGGTTCCAGCACATAGCAGAGAAGTTGTGAGGATCTGTAGCATATGTTTAGACATCAATCTTCAAGGATAGATAGAACATATACTTACCCCTCAAGACTAACAATGATGACATTTGATGTTCCAAGAGACACAGCCCAGATGCCGCGAACAGCGACCTCCGTAGTATCCGAGGCATTATCCACGAGAGGGACCTTTTGAAGTATTTGACTCTCTGCCCATTTCCAGACGAACAAGTGGCTGTCACCGCCACCTGAAATGAGATATTCTGGCATCCACTGAGGAACACAAAGCTTGCTGATAAATGAATCGTGACCCAGGCAAAAGTTCTCAATGATGTGGGCTTGAGGAGGGCCACGGGATACCCGGATATGTTCGTCCCGATCTCCAGTTAGGATATAAGAGCGTTTACTATCAGGCAACGAAACGTAGATCATATCCGTTAGCAGAGAGACATGACCAAGCAAAACCTGATGTCCGAATGCCGGTCCGGTCTTCTCCTCTGGTCTGTAGCCTTCATTCCATTGCCGTTTCTGCTGTTCCAGAGCCTGCAAGTTCTTCTTGGAGTGCACAGTTAAGGACGTCGCTGCAGGCTGGCTCCTCGTCTGGCCGATTGTCCGGGATGGGAGAGCTGTTGGCATTTCACCGAGAATCAATGGCAAAGAATAGACATCTCCAAATTTATCCCCACACAGAATGGTGGTATCGTTGTTGGCCAAGACAATGGCGGATGGCCGCTTTGGCATATTTCTATCCAGAGCGTTAGCATTCAATCTACGTCCTTGAAGAAATATCTCCATACCGTGCACTCAATTGCCCAAGGGCACCATCATCCCCTACTGAGAAAACACGGATGCATTTGTCTTCCGATGTAAGGGCAACCACGTGCTTGCCGCTAGAAGAAGCAACCAGCAGGGGGATACTGGACCATGCAATCGAAGCCGGAGGTTTTTCTGAATCTTTGCCAGCGGGTTTCGATTCTTCATTTGCAGGCGCTTCAGAGTTGGAGACTCTTCGCTTCTTCTCTGGAGGCTCTTGGTTCACTTCCGCGCCATCTACATCCCGGGGCCAAATGGCGAGCCGCTGTCCGGTTTCAGCAGCATAAGAGTAAAGTTGCGGACCAGAAGAAGCAATCAGCAAGCTCTGGGAGCCAGTAGATTGTCTATCCACGTATCGGACGCAATGGAATGGGTGTTGGAAGTTTCCGGCCATGGTGCAGGTAAAGGACCGGATACCACCGAGTCAGAAATAGGTAAATCGATAATTCAGGAATAATAATAATTTAGTTCTTGTGAATATCATGCGACTCCAAATAATTAACAAATAACAAATCAAACACTCATAAACACGGCTCTATACAGCCGCCGTGAAGCCCTTTTCTTTTTGCGGCTCCGCTGGCGGGCGGGGAGCACGTGATCGCCTCGCTAGGCGAAGCCACAAGAAGATTTCCCAAAAAATGTCGAAATTCCTTTTTTTCTTTCCTTCCTCGAACTTCAACGTCACGATTCGACATCGTACATCACCAACTTTTAAAACAATTTCCTTGCCCTTAAACATCCTATCTTCAGTGAAATAAGGAGACATGGGGGGCAAGTCGGCTTTCAAGACCGCTTACTTCGAGAAGCTCAAGACCAACCTTGATGAGTTCAAGACGGTCTTCATTGTCGGTATCGACAATGTGAGCTCTCAGCAGATGCACGAGATTCGTCTGAGTCTCCGTGGTGAGGGCGTTGTCCTGATGGGTAAGAACACCATGGTAAGTTTGCGCTCGATCTCTGCTGTACTGGAATAGCTATTGACTTGTGATTTCAGGTTCGCCGTGCCATCAAGGGCTTCGTTGCCGAGAACCCGGAGTACGAGCGTTTGCTTCCCTTCGTTAAGGGTGAGTTTTCCTACCTTGCGATAAAATTCTGCGATCAATCTGGTGGAATTGGACTGACTGGTTTTTTGCAGGCAACGTTGGTTTCATCTTCACCAACGGTGACCTCAAGGAGACCCGTGCCAAGATCCTCGCAAACCGTGTCGCTGCCCCAGCCCGTGCTGGTGCTGTTGCTCCTGGCGATGTCTGGATTCCTGCCGGTAACACTGGTATGGAACCGGGTAAGACCTCTTTCTTCCAGGCTCTCGGTGTCCCCACCAAGATTGCTCGTGGTACCATTGAAATTACCACGGACCTCAAGCTCGTTGAGGCTGGCACCAAGGTCGGACCCTCTGAGGCTTCGCTCCTTAACTTGCTGAACATTTCGCCCTTCACCTACGGTATGACCGTCGCTCAGGTGTACGACAACGGCCAAACCTTCAGCTCGGAGATCCTCGACATTGAGGAGGACCAGCTCCTCAAGGCTCTGTCTGGGGCCATCCAGCGCATTGCTACCGTCTCTTTGGCCACCAACTACCCCACCCTTCCCTCGGTCATGCACTCTCTCGTCAACGGCTACAAGAAGGTTCTCTCTGTTGCCGTCGAGACCGAGTACAGCTGGCCCGAGATTGATGAGCTTAAGGACCGCATTGCCAACCCTGAAGCTTACGCCTCTGCCGCTCCCGCTGCCGCCGCTCCCTCTGGCGGTGACGCCCCCGCCGAGAAGAAGGAGGAGGAGGAAGAGGAGGAGTCTGACGCTGACATGGGCTTCGGTCTCTTCGACTAAGCGCATCGCTCGTCTGATTCACGGAATACGATTGCCATGTATTAGATTTTTCTTATGACCTGTTAATGGTTGGAAATGGAAAAGTTCATGGATACAATCCTTTTTGGATATTCATCTAGATATGGACGTAGACATGCGTTCCATTTCTCTGATGAAATTGGTGAGTCTTTCCCTCTTTTTCCACATCGTCGAAAGTCTACCTACAAGTTCCACATGCATTGGTGAATGATGAGACATTTTTTAACTCGTAGCATACCCTCAAGGGATGCTTTGAAGAACAAAAACCGCAACAACAACACTCTAATTTTTTGCTGACACCTTTGCACTCATTCTGCCTTTTGTCACATTATACACTCACATCAAGCATTAAATGATTGCTAACAAGATTCTAAGATTAGTTACCGATCCAAGTGACCGTGGTCTACGGCACTTCGAGCTCCTATAGAGCTCACGTAGTTTCACTTATTGTAGCTCTAGAAACTTGCAATCAATACTATTCATTAAACCCTCTAAATTATTCCTCAAACACCTTGCCCTATCTCGTAACCCGAACATCTTCCCTATGTAGACCTGTCCGTCTGAAGATACAACGGATCATCCAACCCATCAATAGGAATAAACCGTGACAGTTCCCTAATCCGCCCAATCCAGCTCCTCACATTCCCAAACGGCTCAAGCGAAATATCCCCCATAGGCGCCAACGCAACATACGGAAAAACCGCAATATCCGCAATCGTCGGCCGTCCCAACACCAACCACTCCACACTCCCCAAATGCTGATCTAGAATCTGTAACGACTTCTCCCCACGAATTCTCGCCTCCCGCAGCGTCTGCTCGGTACTCGTAGTTCCCAGTCCGTTAAATGCTCCACCGAGCGAAACTATCGCGCGTGCCGTGAAAACACCATATTGCACCCAACTAGCAGCGAAAGCAAGCCAGTTCGTGATAAGCGCTTGTTCTGCAATGTCCGCAGACCACCAACTATTCCCATCTAGGTTTTGATACTTCCCCGCTAGATAGACCAAGATTGCAGCTGAGTCCGTGAGAACAAAATCGCCGTCGACTAGGGTTGGGACTTCGCCTTTGGGGTTTATGGCGAGGAACTTGTCTCCGCACTGTTCGCCGTTGCGTAGGTCGAGTTGGATTATGTCGAGCGGGATGTTGAGGAATGAGGCTAGGAGGCGGGCTTTGTAGCTGTTGCCGGATGCTTCGTTGCTGTATAGCGTTGGCATGGTGGGCTTTGGTTTGTTTTTCGCCGTGTTGGATTATGGTAATGAGGAGAGATCGGGGCTTAGATAAGGCTTTCTAGTGCAATAGGATAGCTGTCATCATTGAGGACATGCTCGGTAGATTTCTGGTGTTTTATATATAACGCTAAGCAAATCCCGTGTGATTATCGGGCTATGGCTTGCGTTCCACGTCTCAATCCCCGCAGTAAAACCTCGTGCTTATAGAAGATAAACTGAAAACTCCGAGCGTTGGACATGCTATGCGATCTAGAAGCGCTTGCTGCTCTTGCTGCTCTTGCTGTAAGCCCACTTAGTCTGCCGCTTTTAGATAGTAGTGCTTGTCTGAATTAGGAGCCTTCGCTTCACATCCTCGCTAAGCAGGGTGAAATAAGAACACTCAACCAACATCCTCCCTCTCAATCCTCTCCATCACTTCAACCACCTCCTTAGCAAGCACCCTAGTACCCCAATCCAAAGCCGTAACACCAGAAACCCACCGAAACCTCACCCTCCAAAACCCCCACCGTCCCCTCGACCACCTCTTCGCCGTCCAAATCGGCCCCCGACCCTCCTCCCCAAAATCCTCCACCCCCAACTTCCCATAAATCTCCCTCCCACATATAAAAACCAACTGTGTAGCACCCGGAACCCTCCGATCCAGAATCCTAATGTCCTTAGCAAGTAATTCATCGCGCTTTTCCTCGTAGAAATCCTCGTCCTCGTCGTCTTTAGATAGGCTTCGATGTCTTCGTGGTGGTGTTTCTCCCATGGGGCCTCTTCGAGGGCTTCTGTTAGGACTTGGGCACCGCGGGATAGATCGCTGATTTTGTCGGCTGTGCAGATGCCCCGGTTGTGTAGCTTTGCGATGAAGGCGCAGAGGTTGATGTATCCCTGGCGCTCGGGGATGATGTTGGAGTCGAATGGTGAGGTTTCGATTTCTAATTGTGTTAGGGTGCCGTTTTAGCAGGGGAATGGGGAAGGGGGACGTACGACCAAATTCGAACTCCGTTAGATCTTGGCCCATCTTATACATTTGGTCTTTGAACGTGCCACCGGGGAACGAGATGTCCTGCAGTTCAACTATAAACTCGACGAATCTGCCATTGTGCGCAGGATATACCTTTACGGCATCACGGAGGACTACGAAAAGAATGCCACAGCTAGGTCCATATTCATTGGCTCTTTGGTTTGCTCTTTGATCATGTGGTCAACGGCTTGTCTGACGATCTGTGAGATTTGAATAGAAGGATCCAAGAAGAAGGATCATAAGGCTGAGAGGATGTCAGGGTAGGCGCGCTTGGCCCATTTGTTTAGGAACGACTCATAGCCGGGGGGGGGGGGGGGGGGGTTGGTGCTTTCTGAGCACGAGAGGCTGTGATGATATTGTATAAAGCAGGCGCAGTTGTATAAAATTGATGTTGATAATGTATTGGAAGACTAACGCGCCTTAAACAAATACTAACGACCTTATCCACCCCAAAGAGCCAAAGTCAGCCATGTCGTCGCTCCTTTCCTAATCGAGATTTACTATGTATTACTCTTGGGAACAGCAAAAACGTGCCCTTGTATTTATGCACGGGGTCTATTCTCAGAATCAAACCCATGCCATGCTAAAGACCAAGCCTCTAAAACAACGAGGGAATATAACAAGAACCACATTATGAAAAGAAAGGAATAAAAGAGTATATAACAGTTATCAAAATCAACCACCCTCCTCACCACCCCTCCCACTAAACCTCCCCCCAAACCCACCCAAATCCCTCCGGAAGAACTTCCCAATATTCTTCAGATTCAGATTCTCATTCAGATTCCCAGCGTAGCTATACCCTTCGTTACTACTGTCTCCTCCAGACGGAGACAAAGCCCCCGACGACGAAGAGGGTGCAGGACCTCCAGCGCTACCGTTCGAGGGGGTACCAAATCGATCAACTCCATCTTTAGCAGCGGAGATAATAGCCGAGCCGAGCATGGACGGGTCGAACCGGGATGTAGACGCGGAGCCCAGGCCCTGAGATACAGAGCCAGATGAAGAAGTACCTGATGGTTGCAGCGCAGCAAGGACAGGATTGCTTTGTTGAAGATTCGGGGCATGGCGTTCAGATGCACGATGGACCTGGAAGAGTTCCACGAGATGGTTCTGTTCTTGGCGACTGCGGATACCCTTCATGTCGAGGATCTTGCGGAAGTTGGCGTTGTTTTGGTCGGCGATGTGGATTAGGTATGCTTGGACGAGGGCTTCGGGGGGCGAGGGGTGGACTTGGACGGTTTTGAGGAGGGCTTCGATTTTGGAGAAGCTGGAGTTTACGCGTTTGGCGAAGCTTGCTGGGGCGGGGGGTGGGAGAAGGGATGAGAGGCCGGATTTGAGAGTGTAGGAGTCGAGGAGCATCTATACATGTTAGTCTTGGGTTTCGAGTTTGTGACGAGCACAGTCGGGAAACTCACCTGTTCTGCCCCCGTCTCCGAAATAGGCTTGCTTTGGAAGACGATCGTAATGAACAGACTCGATATTAACTCCACAAGATGATCAGTAAAAGCTCTTGCATATTGCTGCTTATGCAAGAACTCCAGAATCTCCGAAGCCTTCGTCTTCGCCTTAGACAACACCTGCCCCACATAAGAGCTCTCATCACTAACAGCCTCCAGGCGATTCCAAGGCGTGTTGCGCATCTCCCGCCAGCACGGCTCCATTTCGACTTCCACTTGCCGAACAAGACCCCGTACGGCTGCAGAGGCAATCCCCATGAAAGAATCAGCTTGGCTTTGTAAATCCACCTTCTCTTTCAGGTTCTTGTCTAGCCGGCCCTTGATCTTCTCCTCTAGCTGGGTACATGTCGTGTAGCAATAGTCCGCGGTGTTGAGGACTAGAATGAGGTCTTCCAGAGACGGAACCTTCGAAGGCGTATTCCCTGTAGGCCGTTCACTGATATAGTAAAGAAGAACTTGCTGCGCATATTGGTCCAGGTATTTCGCAAATACCCCGCCCAAGTCCGCAAGACTGGCGCCGGTGGAGAGTTTCGCGCATTGCTGCAAAGCATGTCTGTAGAAGGTGAAGAGTTCGGTGGACGAGGAGATGACAATGTGAGAATCGAATTCCTCATCTGGAGGTTTCAGGGGTTGCTGTCGGTACTTCGGTATGAGTGCAGCCAGCTGTTTGTCTTGAGCTTCAACCCATACGCTCAGGTATGGCTCGAAAGCTTCCGAAATTGCTTGGCCGAAGACAGGTGCCTCGCTCGAGGCAAACGTATCGGTTGAAGGCCGCGAAGGACTGACAAAGCGGCGCTCCAGAGTGTGCTCGAAGTCCAGGGTCTCTTGTAAACACGACAGTAACAGGTTGACATCAATAGTCTGGCCATTCCGCACTGACCTGGACAGAATACCCTTGAAATCATCTCTAGTCCCCTCACAGAAGACATTGGCCAGTATCTCATCAACCTTCCAACTCGCCGGAAAAATAGCAGCATAATCCTCATCATAGATCTTCAAAATCCGCTTAAACCACGAGTACCTCCGCGAAATGTTATCCAAAGACCCAGCCTCCTCATTATTCCTAAAAACCTGCCGATACTCCCGCAACTGAAAGTTGCAGTACCAAGTCACAAGCCGCGACCTCGCATGATCCCCAAGCGAGTCAATAACCAAGCACCCCTCCGCCAATATCGTATTCTTCGGCCCGACCTCCCCCTTGGCAAACGCCAGCTCGAAATCCTCACAAACTTGCTCCAGTAACTCCCGCTGTATATCCGCCACATTCCTACTCAGCAGCGCAATCTGGTCGATCGACCGGTATGACTTGAAATGCGCCATCAGCTGGATAACAGCCTGCAGTAACTGCGCACAGTCGCGGTACTGTCTCGTCCGGCTCAGCGCGCGCAGCTGATCGTACGCTGTCGTGAGCATCTGCAGCCGCTTCAGCGCCGTCATCGACAGTGTGAGGTTCTTCTTCGCATTATCCAGTTGCTTGATATCCGACGTCATCTCTGTAATCGCATGTTCGGTGCTCAATGCGCGGTCGCGAACGTCGTCAATCTTCTTGAATAGCTCGCTCAGGTCGGCTTTGGCTGCTTGGATGCGCTCCACGCTTTCGGCGTTGGAGGTGACCTGGTCTTCCACCAGGGAGCCGATGTCGTCGTCCAGTTCATCTTCGTAGGTCTGGAGGGATTGGGACACCTGGGATACGGAGGAGAGGGTGGAGGGGTGCGAGAAGATAGCGTTTAGGTGGTCGATTGGGTCGTAGTCGGCTGGTTCGTCGTAATTAGCATATCAGCCATGACATCCCGGGTATGTTATAAATTGTGTCTCACCCGCATCTAAAGGATCAAAGCTCGGTTCTTCGTCTGGCGGCATATGGTTGGTGGTGGTTGCGGTGGTAGAAGACATGCCATTTAGTAGCTCCGTCGGAGTACGGAGAACACGCTAGACACACTCGCTGCGATTCCGGGGTCGATAAAGACCCAATATTCGCTGCTTCACTTCGACTAATAACTTGCGAGGCAAATCGAGGGGAAACTATGCCAATAGAACGAATTGACGGCCACGGCAGAGGTTCTCGAGGGGGAAGTTGGGCACTTGAGCTCCGACGCGATGGAAGACGGAGGCTTGGCACGGTGGAAACCGTCACTGTATGAGATAACTACAAGTACACACTCTACTATGGAATGGCGAGTTAAATGATGATGATAACAAATTGTTTAGTATAATTGATACAAGGTAGCCATCTATATTGACATGATCATAAGGCTGTATGAATAAGATAATAGTAGTACTGTAATTCCAAGTTGAGAAGCCATCGTCCATTCGCCAAAGCCATGCAAAAGCAAGTCACTCCGTATATATCCTAACCCAAAAAGAAATAAAGTAAAAAGCTGCTGTAGAATGCAAGTAGCATTGCCGTTAGCGCAAAGAGGAGAATATTCAATGTCGAAATCGAACGAAGTAGCATGTGGGAGGTTTAAATCGTTCCAGGGAGGAAGGCGTCCGGTGGCAGTTGTCCCTGTGCCTGTATGTTTGTTAGTATTATGGAGCATGGTTCAAGCACTTGGATGAACTAACCTTAAGTTCCTCGAAATTCTTCAACGCAACTTCCACGTTCCATCCATTACCCGAGAGCGCCATCTCAGAGTACTGCAAAGTCATGTTGGTCTTCGCGCTCATCTGCATCACCAGTTGTTCTTGTTGTACTTGCACATCGGGCTTTCCAGGCGCTGGAAAACCATAACCCGCCGGAGTTGCGGGTGGTGCCACCGGTTGAGTCGGGGGTTGGACTCCTGGCACTTGAGGCACTGGAGGCAATTGTACTGGAGGAACTGCTTGAGGCACCGCTTGAGGCACTGGTGGAGTCTCAACAGTCCATGCTTCGTGTCCACCATATGCCCGCAGGCAGAGGATATCACTGTTCACCCTGATGCCTCCTGCACCTGACCCGGGGCCGACAAGAAAAGTCCTATCGAAACTGCGCAATTCCACTTTTCCTGTGCTCATTTCCTCGAACTTTCCATGCACCTTGATGAGTAAACCACCAACACCTGTTGCGCTTTGCCCAGTCGGATCAGGAAGTCCCGGCATGGGATGGCATTCGATAAGCCATTCTTCCGGGTGTGCCGCGATATCGGGATGCCGGGTTGCCGGGAGCGAGTTCCATAGTTCACGGATCTTTTCCACGCCCTGGTAGGCTCGAGACATTCGAGCTGGTAGATGATTGATTTTGAGGAGGTTCCGGCTCTTCTTAATGTACGGGTCCCATCCTGCTGTCTCGGTTTGTTGGGCTCTCGGAGCTGTCGCGTTCACGTTTAATGAGAAGGTGGAGTTTTGGTCGTAAACGCTGTTTAGGATACCACTACGATTAGTGTCGTAGCCGGTGAAGAATGCCTTGACAAAGTTTTCGGCAATCTGCGACTGATCCTGGAAGTACGGAGGCTGGATGGGAATTGGCGTCTTCTTTTGCGCAGCCAGTTCCTCTGCTGTGCGGACTTCCGTATTGTTCAAGATTCGCAGCTTTGGATACCACTTAAGCATCGTGTCCTTGAAGGAGGGATCCGCGCTGAATGGATTCCCTGTGAGATCGAGAAATTCAAGATTCCTAAATTTCCAGCGCCACGCGATAAGAGCTTGTGCGTCCTTGAAGTCATTCCTCGACAAGTCCAGGTTCTCTAAGTCGGGGAATGTCTGAGCGAGCGTGGTGACCACCGAGATATTGGCCAGCTGATTATCCGAGAGACTAACACTCTTGACGGCCTCTCGCTTCGCAACAGAGTTGGTGAAATTCGTTTCCCAGATTTTCATCAGCGCCGGGAAAAACTTGGACTCGGTCGACGTGGTATTGAACATGCCCATAGCCATAAGGTCAGGGTCAGTTGCGAGCGCCGAGAGGTTGAGTAATTTCGCATCTTGGAAGTAGCGCTTGGTGAGGATAGTCGATAATTTGGCCTTTGTGTCGGCAGCTGATGAAGAGCTGCCATTTTGCGCAATGTCCGAAATCATAGGCTGATCGGTCATGGCATCATATTTCTCGACCGTGAGAGGAGCTCCAGCGAAAGAAAACCCATTCAGACGAAGAATCCTGTCCAGCAAATCCGGCCGGATCGAGACGATTAGAGTGTCCCCCTCAATCCGCGACTAAGTTTAGTTGAACGTTAGCAAGGCATAAGGAGACCTTGAAAACCGCAAAAGTCACCCAAAGGAACAAACGCGAGAAAGCCCAGGGAGTGTCGAACGTCGTTTCGGAGTTAATCCATCCCTGAAAACGAGAACACATCGGAGAGGACGAAGTCGCGAATTCATGTCGGTGACCGCTAGTGGTTGTGATGTTGCACATACCTTTGATATTCTTGCGCGCGAGCCAGCTTTCGAGTCGGTTGCATTGATTTTCTTCTCCAGGAAGGTGACTAGGCTTTCGTGACCACCGTCGCGATTCGAGGCGGCCTTGCTTTGTTTCCATCCACGGATGCTGACTTGTTCGAGGTTGCTTCCTTTGCCGCCCTGTCGGATATTGACCTGGGGGGTGGTGGTGCTGCCGGAAATCGCCTTCTGGATCGCATCGACCGCAGGAGCCCGAGGGCCTGAGGGGCGGCCTGAATCGCCTCGTGTTCTCTTGCCACGGCCCCGAGCACCTCCACCAGCAGCATCCATCTCCATATCACCATCTCGATCAACTCGTGTAGGACCACCCCGCTTGCGAATGCCTCCGCGATCCGTCCCACCAGAGCGTCGAGGACCTTTTCCGCCTTTCATTTTGCTCATGCTATTCGTTTTAAAAGTTGTAGCGACGAGGAGTAGGCGAAATTATCGAGGGAGTCTTCGTTGTGGGAGTAGGTAGAAGGTAGTAGAAAAACGAAGAAAAAAGGAAAAAAACTCGCGGAGCGGAAGTTGCGCCTCGAGTTCTTGATGGGGCTCGTCAGAAAACGAGAGACGCAGGATATAAAGAAAGACACTCGAGAACGGAGGTAAGCTGTATAAAGCGAGGCCTGCGTTGACCTCGAAGTCGAGGATGAACAAGGAAGGAAACAATGGACAAGGCCAGCGAGGACTGCAAAAGGCAAAAGTGACGTGCATTGGTCATCACGTGAGTCATCGCCGCTCCGACTGCCTGAAACACACGTGACTTTTGTCAGGCAGAAAGGCATCAAGGGGCGGAGTACTCCTGACCAATCACATCCTATAATATGTCCTTTGTCTAAGACAGTAATACATTCGGAGCAAACCATTACATACATACAGCCTACGTACGCATACTCCGTACTCCGCGTACTTTGAGGCCAGCTGGTTCAATTCCTCTTAACGTCAGCAGAGATAGCAACACTGCTGCTATTACTCTGTGTAATTGCCAGTGTAAGTAAGCTGTCATCCAATTGTCCCAAGCTTCCCATCACGGACCCAATTAACCCAAAATAGGTCATCTGTACACAAATAGTCGTTCCTTGCGGGCCGCTGGCTGGACCTGATCAACTCGACTCAACTCGACACTATCTGCAGAGTACACCACTTGTCCCTCGTTTAATCCTACTTATGGTCGTCGCTTAATCTCGAAATGCCTGCCAAATCGCGCTTCACGAGGCTAGACGCCTTTGCCAAAACCGTCGAGGATGCTCGCATTCGCACCACCTCCGGCGGGATCGTCACCATAGCGTCGCTGCTTATTATACTGTGGTTGGTTTGGGGAGAATGGGTGGACTACAGGCACGTATCGGTACTTCCTGAGCTGGTGGTTGATAAGTCGCGAGGTATGGTTTGTCTGGATATAATGCTTGGACTGGACGACCCTTGGTTAATATTGGTATAGGGGAGAAAATGGAGATCCATCTGAACGTGACGTTTCCGCGGCTGCCATGCGAACTTCTTACGCTTGATGTGATGGACGTTTCTGGCGAACAGCAGGTCGGAGTTGCGCATGGCGTGAACAAAGTGCGCTTGAGTCCGCAGGCCGAAGGAGGTCGAGTCCTGGACATCCAGGCATTGGATCTGTACGCCCTCCCCCATCCCATTTTCTTAAATCGCCCTCTAACAACAACCCAGACACTCGCAAGAAGAAATCGCCAAACACCTGGCTCCCGACTACTGCGGCGAATGCGGCGGCGCGCCAGCCCCTGACGGCGTCATAAAACCCGGCTGCTGCAACACCTGCGACGAAGTCCGTGAAGCCTACGCCCAGAAATCCTGGGCCTTCGGCAAAGGCGAGAACATCGAACAATGCGACCGCGAAGGCTACGCGGAGCGCCTCAATGCCCAACGCCGCGAAGGCTGCCGCCTCGAAGGCGTCGTCCGCGTCAACAAAGTCATCGGCAACTTCCACATCGCCCCCGGCCGCAGCTTCACCTCCGGCAACATCCACGCCCACGACCTCGAGAACTTCTTCGAAAAGGACCTCTCCGAAAATGAACGCCACACCATGACCCACGAAATCCACCAACTCCGCTTCGGCCCCCAACTCCCCGACGAACTCTCGGACCGCTGGCAATGGACAGACCACCACCACACCAACCCGCTCGACAATACGCAGCAATCCACCGACGAACCAGCCTACAACTTCATGTACTTCGTCAAGGTCGTCTCAACCTCCTACCTCCCGCTAGGCTGGGACCCCCTCCTCTCCTCCGCCATCCACAACACCTACGACAAATCACCCCTGGGTGCGCACGGCTTCGCCTACGGCAGCCAGGGCTCCATCGAAACACACCAGTACTCCGTGACCTCGCACAAGCGCACGCTCATGGGCGGCAACGACGCAGCAGAGGGGCACAAAGAGCGTATCCACGCGCAGGGCGGTATCCCCGGTGTGTTTTTCAACTACGACATTTCCCCGATGAAGGTTATCAACCGGGAGGCGAGGACGAAAACGTTCTCTGGGTTCTTGACGGGGGTTTGTGCGATTATTGGTGGGACGTTGACTGTTGCGGCGGCTGTGGATCGGGGGTTGTATGAGGGGGCTATGAAGGTGAAGAAGATTCATTCGAGTTGAGCGTGTCGGGTTGAAAAAGATGAGAAAGGAAGAAAAAACAGAAAAAGCAAATTATAGTTTATATACAGTCCCTGCTCGTGCCTGATACTCGACTGGAGGCGTTTGTGGTGTTTATTTCATATCAAGTTAAGCATTCATGCATTTGTTCTACAGATTCGAACCCCAAAGAACGTAGATCTACGATGAAACATTTAGAAGGACTATACGGTATTCTTACGAAAATGATCCAGAGAAAGATTCTCTTCACTCAATCGAGCAAGACTGCAATTGAAAATTCGAACAAAAAGAGATAAAACAGACACCGATACGCCAGACCTGATCTAACACCGAATGTCTGGTGGACGAAAGAAAACACGCTTGTTTTGAAACAATTTGACGCCAGGAACGAAAACAAAAGTAAGATAGAAAAAAAAAAAAAAAAAAAAAAAAAGGAGAAGTGAAGTGAGAATGAGAGGATATATATAAATCCGCCAGGGAGCGCTGCAACAAAGGAAACAATAATTGAGATATAGCAGGGTCAAAAAGATCGAAAAATGGAAAGATCGAAAGGTAGTGACGCTTAATGCATGTTGGTATATTGCCCAGGACCCTGGCTGTAGTAAACCGGCGCAGTCTGCTGCATCCCGTTTCCGTACCAAGTCTGCCGTCTCGGTTCATCAGAACGGTATGCTTGGTTCAGCGCACTAACGCTATGTCCAGCTGCGGGCAGGTTGTAGCCACTGTAAGCATCACCTCCGTAGTACGAAGCATGTTGTGGTTGGTACTGCATGTGCTGCTGGCGTTGGGCAATGGCATGCTGCACCATGTGGTTGGACATGTCCTCCTTCAGATCCTTCTTCTGGCGTTCGCGAGCATCAATCTCCGCGACGAGGCCTCTGGGGCCAGCTTGTGGTTGTTGTCGGTGAGATGATGAGGACATGTTAAAGAAGGCTGATCCGGTCATGCGTGCGACGTGCTCCTGTTCGCGAGCGGACAAGTTGGGAGAGATTTTCTGGGGCATCATGGTACCGGCGCCACGCGAACGAGGTCGGGGTTGGTTTTGTCCCAGATGCATGTTGGAAGTGGAATGGGCCATCCAGTTGGGTGAAACCGGAGGTTTCTGGGGGCGTGGATGTACCGGGGAAGTGGGACCCTGGCCGTACGCAAGAGGGGTGGTAGGGCGTCCATTTGGCATTCCGGGTTGCCAGGGAATGCTTCGACGACGCTCGTCCCGACTTGAATTTCTCGAATGGGAGGGATGTGTCGGGACGTTGATTCGCTGTCTCTCCGTAGAGTCTGAGCCGGTATGCTCGTGTCCAGATTGTTTCAATGTGTCTGCTGTGCTCGGGCGACCATTTGTGGGGAGATAAGTCATGGTAGGCCCAAAGTCCACGTCCGGGATATCCGGGTTGGACTTGGATGGTTGTTGATCAACAGTGTATTGAGCGTCACCGATAACCACGTTTTTCTCTGATTCGCCACCTCCCACTGTCTTCTTCACACCCATCCTAGGACGTCGGACAGATGAGGCCTTGCTGTAAACAGATCCATGGGTACTCGCGTAGTCTGGGGAGACCGTGGATGCGTCATCATACACGGTGTCGTAGACACTTTCTTCATCATGATGGCTATCCTTTGCCGGTGATGGCGTGGGGTCGTGGAGTAATCCGACCTGGTTCAGTGCATCCTCGTCGACAGTGTGCCATAGATCATCATAACTGGGCTCGCCCGCGGTACTAGCCACCGGACTGGTGACATCGAACTGCGCTCTCTGCGATTGGCCCACAGGTTTCCGTTTGATTGCTCTGGTGGTATCCAAGCTCAGACGGTTCTTGATTGACGATGGCGCAGATGGTGATCCAGACGATGGCGTACTGCCCGCCGAGCGGATAGTGATTGGTGATGGGACCGTAACGAGTTTCGGAGCCGCGATCACCTCGCTCGAGGCGCGCCAATTCACATCAGAGACACCCAGACCGCGAGGCTCAGAAGCATAGGGGTTATTGGCGGACATATTCTGTTGACGCATGTCCTCAGTGCTCTTGGTTGTGGGCCGTCCGGCTGATAGACCGGCACCACTAGCAGCAGCCATCTGCGCAAAAGTGGCCTTGGACATGCGATTGTTGGCCTTTCTTGCATCAACTGATGGGCGTGGCCGGATCGAAGGCGTCTGGTTCGGTCCGTGAGTAAATGCAGGAGGGCTTGACACAGGCGCCGGCGGGGATGGAGATACGAGGACCTCCCGAACCGCTGCAGCTTGGGGGTCAACTTGCTGCCCATGGTCCGAGATACTCCGGTCATTGCTGCTGGACTCGGGCCTTTCACTGCCATCCTCCGCAAGATGGTAAACCGATGATGCTGGAGACATGTCTGTGCGAAGTCGCGGAGGCCGTTCGAGGGGGCCATACAGTCCGACGGTGTCTGACTGGGCCCGGGAATGGTTACTTGGCGATTCGGGCTCTTCTCGTGGCCTCTCAGGGATGATGTTATCCACGGACTGATTGAAGGCTGGTTGGAAATGTGAAGGGGGAGTAAACATGCGGGTTGCACCAACGGGCATGGTACTCTGTCGATTGGGCAAGCTAGCCCTAAAGCGCGGCTTTTCGCTTGAGATACTGCTGCTTCTGCTGCCACCACCACCACCACCACCAGCAGCCATGCGACGGGCGGTCGCCTCTTTGAGTTGCTGCCTCCATTCCGTTTCACTCCAGTTCAGGCAACCGGGAGTCTGCATCAAATTTGCGATGTCCAGGCTGTCCAGGTAACCATGTCGACGATTTCGGGGGAAAGCAAACATGATACTTTTTATGTGATTTGTGACGGCGATTATACGGTTGGGCCTCCCGTAGAGGTTGAAAGTGTCGAACGTGGGAATAAGGAAGCGAAGCATCGTCTCAAAGCCAGACACCGCGGGATGTGTTTCGGGCATGACAAAGACAAAACCTTCCGTGCTCGATTCGGACGATGAATGAATTGTGATCTGCCCTTCGATCTTGACCAACGTGGACTGCTCAATCAATGGGATAGACTCGGGATAGATAGCGTAGGCAGCGTAGGCATTAGTGACGGTAGCAATCGGCTTTTGCTTCTTGGTCTTCTTAGACTCGTAGAACTTGATGTTCCCCTTAACTGTAGAGGGCGACCGATCATAGGCGGATCGTCTCTTCATTGTCTTGCGTGTCTTTTGTATTTCTTTCTCGTCTGGTGGTGACACGACGAACCAGCAACGCCGCCATGGTGTACCAGCACCAAACCGCACACGAGCCCAGTCTTCGTGCCTGAATCGCGTCTGTTGCAAGATGGAACTGGCATTGGCGAGACTTTTTCCTTTTCCCGCGAAAATGGAACCGGTATACGCTTCGTAGAGGGACGTGTGCTCATACATAGCCAATCGGATTGCGGAGGTCCACTGGACTAACGAATTGAACGAGTTGAAATGCAGGAGATATCGGTTTTGGCCTGCAGAGCACAGACTCAGCACATTTTTCAATGGCTGCGATTGTTGGTTTTTAATGGGCAGCGTCTCGATCTACTACTTGTTAGTCTTCAGCCAAGTAGACACCACATAACGGGGACCTACCGTCTTGATTGAGGCATCAGCCAGATTGATGAAAGTCGGGGGCACCTCTTGCCCATCTCGCGCTGCGTCCAGCGCAGCGGCGTTCCATAGCGATAGAACAGTTCCAATCAATTGCGCATAGCATTCCACCCACTGTCTATCGGGACAAGGCCGGCCATGGGTATCCAAATCATTCAGCTTGAGAAAATAACCCTCTTGGTATATTTTGTTGGCATGACTGTTCAAAAGAGCAAAGATCGGCTGGATTTCAGCGGGCGTATCTCCCGAAACATCCAACTGCGGAGGTTTGTGCGAGAAGGCGGCTGAAGACGGGCGAGAAGCACGGCGCTCTCTGGACAGAGTTCCTGTCGGCGAACCTTCGGCCACCGGCGACGGCGCATCTGGGGAAGTCGTGCTCACAGCTGACAGCGATGGCGACTCTAGCGCAAATGAAGCGGAGGAATCGCGCTTGCGATTGTTGGCTTGGTTGCTGTTGCGGGACGGACCCAAGGAGGACATGAACGAGATTACTGTAGCAAAGAAACAGTCAGTCACATTCCGGCATATTTGGATCTGATTAATTCTACCCACCCCGCGAACGAGCCATGTTGAGTGGCTTGATATCTCAGTAATCTAGCGCTGGTTTCCAATGATAAACGTATTGTGCAATACCTGAGGTATTCGAGTGATGATAAATCCGCTCCGGAGAATTTAGTTTAAGACGAGAATATTATAGGAATCTTTTAACGAGATAAAATGAAAGAAGGAGGCGTTGTAGGAAGCAGTGAAAGTGGGAGGCGAAGTGTAGGGTATATTAATAGATCAGCCGGTGATTTTTTCTGCAGGAACCGGCGACAGTCTCAGATCCGGCTAAGACTGTTCGCTTTGAAAGCGAATCTATATGAATATGCGTAGAACTTTTGTAATGATGGCGAAACGACGGAGAATTAAGACTGCGATTTGTGTCAGAGATGGAGAAGGAAATGCGGAGGAAGGACGGACGCCCAACGGTCGAAATCAACGGTCGAATGGAGGACGAGAGTTAATGACAGAGAAAGAGTAGCAGTGAGGAGTGAAAGCGCCTCCAATAGAGGAGACGACTAGATTATCCCAACAAATAGAGAGATAGAGAGGGAGAGAGGGAGAGAGAGAGAGAGAGAGAGAGAGAGAGAGAAAGATGAAAAAAAAGGAAGATGGAGTTGGAGATGAAGCAAAGATGAACGTGGGTCTACTCCGTAGAACGTGACACGGCCGACTCAGCAGTGCCTGTTTCCAGGGACCGTCTATGCCTGGTATTCAAGGACTCCCAAGGTTGCCTGGTAAGACGAGAGAAAGAGAGAGTAAAGATGACAGAAGATGTTGTTATGGCCCCGCTGACCAGCAACCGCCGGAATGTATCTCTATACAAGTACTTGTACAGAGTACGGTATTATGGGGAAGCTGGCGTCATCCTACAGTGTTTTTTTAGTGTCGTTTAGAGATCGGCACTGCGCAGTTTCACTTGCTTTTTCTCCGTGAGTAACGATATTATTCAGGAGCAGAGTGAATATTTACAATTATATGGTAGTATAGGAGTCAATCTATCTAAAGTATAGCATCTGCATATTGTTGTCTAAAGAATGTAGCCTTATCAGGATGTATGCAATACCGTAATTACCGTCCCATTCCACGATTACCAAATATAGTAATGCATCTGGGGCAAAAAAAGAAAAGTTCTGACACTCGCAGACAACGGGATTGTATGAGGTGTATCAGAGCAATCCTACAAAGTACCTAGGAGTACTCTGTAAGACTGTTAACTAACTATAAATACATAGTTATGTATGCTATTTACGTGCAGCGGAGGATTCAGCACTCACAGCACCCAAAACTCCGACGCCCACTCGGCCGATCGCTTCTCCATTCAACGCCACGACGGCAACTCTATTGACTTTGCACTAAAAAACGCATACGAAGCTTGCCTCACAAAAAGTGTGGCTGATTCGCCTTCACTCAGATGATCATGTGATTTAGTCATGTGATTTTACTTGACCTGCTTCACTGGCCTACTAGTGGTTCTATTGAATTATATTCCGCTGTATCGCTAGTTTGGATCAGATAGTGCTGGACCAGTCGTATAGTAACCGGGCATATTGCATCTACTCATGGAGATATTGAGTATGAGCGACGAGAGGATGCAAAATAAAACCAAATCGACCACAAGACAAATAAGGCTATACTCGTGGAATCAGAGCACAGAATGACTGTTGCACATATTACAGCAGAAGCAGTCGTGACCAATCACTCCGGCAGCGTCTTTCCACCCAATGTCTCGAATGGTTCGATCTTTGTTCCTCTTGCTTACCCTACTCAGATGCATTCACTGCTCACTCAAGCACTCTATTCACCACGCCAGGCATAAGCATTTACCTTACCCCTCCCCCTCATGACCCTCTCATGGCGACGTATATCTATCCCTCTTCCACTTCTTGTTCTCTTTTCGCTTTCATCTGAACCAGCCTGGTTGGTGTCGCGCTACAAGCTCTTGGATGCTCGCATTTCAGCGCTGGGCTGCCAGCAGCAAGCTCTCGACAATTCTGGTAGTCTTCGCTTACTTAGTCTTTGGAGTATTCTTACCTTTTTCTGTATTCACGGTAAGTGACAAGATAGCTACTCCGCGCCAGAACCCTAACACCTTACCACATTAGGAACCCAGCGGAATCACCAACATGGAAGAAGCCCTGCCCGAGGAAATCTTCCCTCTGTCAGGATTTCCCACCCCCGAGGAGCGCCTGATCGACCCCTTCGACGACACGACCTCCGTCTTCTCCGATCCCTTCGACCTAGACGAGCGCGACCGCGAAGAACGTCTCGCCGCATACGACACCCAGCGCCTTCGCGAGCTCGTGTCCAACTTCGCCAGGGGCTTCGATGCCGCTACGTTCCCGGAATATGTGAAGGCGTGGACTCCTCGTCTTGGACATGATTTGTTTCCTGGCTCGTATGCGCATCTCATGGTTATTCTGCTCGAAGATTGGGATCAAATGGAGTACTTTCAGCTTTCCATGTTCAAGTGGTTGTGCGAGAGACACCCGGTTCCTAGGTACTATCGCATTGGTCGTGCTCGTGGTACCGATGATAGGCTGTTCGTGTCTGAGCTTGGGGTTCTGAAAAAGTTGCTGTCACCGTTGTGGGCAGATGACCCCAGAGCGATTTACTGGATTGGCAGTCGACTCACCAACCCGGACGACTCGTGCGACCAGGTAAAGACCTCAATGTGTATTATCAAACACTTCAAGGAGGAGATTTCGGCTGAGATTCAGGGGGCCAATGATGACAGTAAGCTAACCCTATTGACCCTCCAATAAAACAACCTCTGACAAACAAGGAACCATATTCTCCCCCAATATCGACCCAGAAGACCACAAAGCCGAAGTCAACATCCGCGAATTCCGCATCGACGCCTGCAAAGCCTCTCTCGGCTGGGGTGAATTCCTCAAAACAAACCTCCACTTCACCTCCTTCCACCAATACTACAAAGCGCACTTAATCCGGACCTCCCCGCACAGAGCGCGAGCCCTCGGCTTCCTCCCTCCGCTCCACGAAAACCTCCCCGACTACCTCCCCGACTACCTCCCCGACTACCTCCCCGACCACCTCCCCGACTACCTCCCCGACTACCTCCCCGACTACCTCCCCGTCCAACCCGACACCCAGCCCACAGCCTGGTGCAACTGGACTCGTCCCGAGCTGCGAGGCAGCGTGCTAGACCTCATTCTGAAGATAGCAGTCTGGCTAGGCCTCGCTCGCGGCGCAGCAGCCGTGCACCTATTCTGCGACATCGTCCGCGCCTTCACCCTCAAGAAACCAACCGATCTCACCGACTGGGACCGCATCGCCCTCCTATACCATTTCACCGCAATCAGAATCCCCAATGAACGCATCCACTCCGGCCTCACCACGCCCTTTTCTCACGCGGACAAGGCCCCCATGAGCAGGAACACAGACTATCTCTCCGCCATCGCGGATTTGAGCTACGATCACAACCACGACCGTGTCTCCGGCGCTGCCTCGATGGAATGGTCTGATTCAGCTACGCTGCTTTCGCAGAAACTGCCGCTTATCCGTCGTCGTCTGAGAATGAGTCAGGGTCAGATTAAGACTTATCATGATCGGCAGGTCTTGGAGTATTTGGCGCAGGCGTCTGTGGAGATGACGTTGAGTTCGAAGATTATGCTTGAGAAGAGGTTGGAGTTGGATTATACGGTGAGCTTCGCATTTGAGGGATTGTTCTAAGCGGGTTGGTTAATGTCGTGATAGGACTATTCGAGTTCAATCTTCAAGAAAGCCGCAGCCGTCGAGAAGAACAAGCACCTCACTCTTCTGCCTCTTTCTCGACCGATTCCGATTCCTAAACGTCGCGTTGTTGGTAGTCTTCGTATTGGATGCGTTTGACTCTGGCTCTCGTCTTTGGTATCTTGCGGCTTTTCTAGGGCATATCGAACGTTTACTTCTTTCTCCGCTCTGGTCGCGACACGTTTTAGACTTACTCTTTTCGGAAGAAAGAAAAACCCAGTTTCGAAGGTAAAAAGTTGGTGGTTTATTGTCTCGTTATTGGAAAAGGATATGAACGGAAATATCTCCCCCTGCAACTAATTCTATTTAATTATGAAAGGAAGAACGGGGAAGCAGATTCTGTGAGCATTTGTATGTACTTAAATACTTTTTTATTTTGCAGGTATTTTCCCTCCTTCACCAGTGTGCTGACCACTTTGACAAGAACCCGATTGACGAGAAAGCTCAATTGTCGAAGATAGAACCAACGCACTTGATAATCTCAAATCTAACCTAGCCTGGGCTGAAACCAGGAATACTAACTCAACAGAGCGAGAACAGGCTAACATACTCATACTGGACATACTCATACCATAATAGCAGTGTAGATAGGTAGTTTAGCCCAGTTCAAACAAATCTAAATCAAGCATTATAACTATATACAATCACTGAACACCGAACACTGAACACTGAACCGAAATAATCGCTCATGCTAGCTCAATTCATCAAGTTGTACGCCAAAACGGGATCAATAAGCGCCATATCGTTATCAGGGGGTATCTCTTCTTTTGCATCTTGTGTTGCGTGCATCGCTTCGGCAGGGTACGACTCGTAAGGATCGGGGTTGAACTCGTATCCGTAGATTCCGAAAACCTCGCCGCTGGGCTGCTGTTGCTGCTCTTGTTGCTGTCCGTCTTCATTTGCGGATAATAATAATGCCCGTCGCAGGAAGAGGTCTCGGATCTCGTCTTCAGAGCAACCGTGTTTACCGCCCATGTGTACCCAGAGATCGTAATCGCGATGGAATCTGTGCGCGCACGAGTCGATAAAGCAGGTGATGTGTCGTCCTGTTTCCTCTGCGTATCCTGCACCCGTAAGCGCGGCCAGGGTTGATGGGGTGTTGGTCGTGGTGTCGCTATTGTTGTTTTGCCCTTGGCCCAATCGCTGCCGGCGTAATGCTTTGGCGTTCGGGAAGCCCAGATGCGCGGTACGTATGTGCTCTTCCAGTGCGAGTTTCGTGCCGTATCGCTTTCCGCAGCCATAACCGTCCCAGCCGGCGACTTTCTTGGAAGTAGAGAGGTCAGTCTCGCCGCAGGCGAAGCGTTTCTCGCCCTCGTGCACGGTTCGGATGTGCACGGTTAGGTTTCCTTTCTTGGTGAAGCTGCGGTCGCATCCGGGTACGGTGCATGAGAAGACTTTTCTTTCCTCGACGCTAACGTCGCCGTGGGCGACTTCCAAATGGCGGCGCAGTTCTCGCGATGTAGAGCAGGTGACGAGACAGTTTGGACATTGTGGTGGATGAGCGGTGCGAATATGTGCTTGTAGCAGTGCGTATGTAGGAAATGTAACAGCGGAATCGTTTTCGTTGTTATCGGTGTCCATTCGCTGAGAACATTCCGTGCAGGTGAACCGTTTCTCTGTATGAAGTCTGCTCTCGTGAGCACGAAGATGTCCAGCCGTCTCAAACGCCATTGGACATTTCTGCCCCGTCGCTGCATCAACATGCGGACATGGAAAAGGTTTCTGTTTCAAATGCGCCGTCATGATATGTTTCTGGAGCGTCGTGTGCTTCCGGAACGTCTCACTGCAAGGCGGGTACTCCGTGCACCGGTACTTGTCTCTTCCGTCATGTGCTGCCAGATGCCTCCGGAGTCGTGAGCCTGTCACGAAGCTCTTCGCACAGCCCGGTCGATCGCAAACGTAGTCTCGAACACCGGTGTGGGCGCTTTTGGTGTGATGATTGAGATGCGATGCTCGGAGAAAGGTCTTGTCGCAGCCATCTTGTGTGCAGGTAAAGAGTCGCTCATTATTATGCGACCGCAGATGCTCATGTAGACGTGCCGGTCGATTGAACGCCTTCGTACAGTCCTCGTAGGGACAAAGGTGGGTTTTAAGTTCTGATGGATATCTGCTCGACGTCACGGAGATTGGTGTCGCTGGGGTTTCAAGTGGGATATCGCTGGCAAAGCTTTCGTTGTCATTTTCAGACAAATACTCTGGATCGGAGTGCGCTTCTTCATAGATCGGATCTAACATATAGTCCAAACTTATTAGTGCTTTTCTATCGAAGAGAGATAGGTCCAGGCTTACCATTGTGGTCCAGCACAGTCTCTTTCTGTATCCTCTTCGGATGCGGCGAGCTGCCCGCAGAAGCCTTTCGTTTCTGACCCATGGCTCAATTGAGCCCACCTATCCTTCATAACATGAAGGACGAGAAAACTGAAAAACTATCAATCTTTAATCGAAGCCCAAATCGTAAATTTCGCTGATATCGAATATTTTGCCAGGGCGGTGAGACGATCCATCCCAATCGGGACTAGCTCGACCCAGGAACTTTTTCCGCCCGCCTTTTTGTGGTCGCGACAGCGAATTCTTCACCCATTGACCGTCGCAACATCGTTTGTTGAATTGGAGTTGTTCGCGGACGAAGAAACTCGAAAGGAACCCATTGAGCTATTGTGCAGCTTGCCGTTGAGCTTTTTTACCTATTAATCCGACACGATGTCTGACTACGGTGGTGACCATGAGGAGGAGACGTAAGGACCACCTTTCTTTTTCACTTGCCTGCGCCATTCAAGAGGATTCATGCTTTACAATGCGGACTCTTTTGATCTGACTTGTATGCGTATAGCTACGACTACGAGCCCGCGGAGGAAGTCGACGACCTTGAGCCCGACGATTTCGTGAACCCCGAGGACATTGAGGGCCAGGAAGAGGGCGACGAATCATACGCGCCTAACGTCGACGGCGACCAAGTTGTTGTCTCGGGCGATCCCAATGCCGGTTATTCGGGGAAGATCATGGAACAAGCTCGGGAGAAGAAGGTTCCTAACGAGCAGCGGGCGACTACCCCGTACATGACCAAGTACGAGAGAGCGCGTGTTTTGGGTACAAGAGCTTTGCAGATCAGGTTCGTTGGGAGTTTGGCTGGATGAGACCTTTCCTTGCTAATAAGGTCTAGTATGAATGCCCCTGTGCTCGTGGATCTTGAAGGCGAAACGGACCCGTTGCAGATTGCTATCAAGGAACTCAACCAGAAGAAGATCCCTCTGATTGTGCGGAGATATCTGCCAGATGGATGGTAAGCTTTCCTATACCCGAATTGGGAGATTTTATCTGACCATTCTAGGTACGAGGACTGGACATGTGAGGAGCTGCTTTAATTTGCAATATATGGGTGGTTTATTCGGGATTTGACATGTTTGGTGTGTATGTTCATATCTTTCCTTTTATTGGAGCATAGCGTTTGGAGTTTGGGAGTCGGGCAGACCATTAGAAAAAAGAAAAAAGAAGAATTGAAAAAAAGAATAGAAAATGAAAAGTTAATACAGACAGTCTCCAATCCAGGTAAAGAAGAAAGAAAAGCGTTGAGGTCAGCTCGTGTCCGTTATAATCCCGCGGAGTATCTGCTATGCGCCGTGCAAAGTGACGAATGTCCGCGTCCATATTCAACCACGAGGGCCTGGAGCGTTCTGTGACATACGGACCACAATCCAAAGCCATTTTTGCTATGAGAACAATCCTCGGATACGGATATCCTACTCGGCGGTCAATCAGGACAAGATAGCTTGTACGCTGTTCACCAAGATGAAGCGGTGAACCGTCAACCTCGAGTATTCTTTTATTGCCATGCCCTGCAGAGAGATACCCGAGTGTCGGACTGGTCTTGTGGCGTGGTTTGTATATACTTCTCATGGTGATAATCACAATATAGCGCGATAACTATACATGGATTGCTCTCATGTTAGGGTTCTACATTGGCTTGGCTCGGGGCTCATAAACGAACCCACTATGTTTCAAGCATAGGTATGGAATCCTGAAAACGGTGACGCTGCTTAAAGGTCCGGTCCGAGCCGCAGCGCAAGGGCTCGGATGGTCGGGATTTTTGGGTTGCATTACGGCTTGTTGGACATCCAATGTCTCGATTTCGTTAGGGGGATCGCGAATATGCAGAGTATACAGTAGACCCTTGTAGAGGCCAGTGGTGCTGCTTTTCGAGAGCACCAAATCCGAGTCAGCCATGTTTTGCTTATGCGGATGGTCTCTTCGGGTCTAGGCTCCCAGGAAGCTTGCCATTATATCAGTACACCGACATACCACCAGACCGCCAAAGTCGATAATATATTGTGGCTTGAAGTATTCACCAATATCAGAACCGGTACAACGCTGGATTGGCTAAGAAATGACTGTAGGTGAGCAACTTCCGAAAGCAGCTTAGCCAGGCACGTGCGGCCCGCCGGCAGTTAGCGCGCTGCAAAGTCCCGACACCTCTTCTCTACTCCGTACTCCGTAATATGGTCGGAGTAGTTAACTACGGAGTACGCATGCGGTCTACAATTCTCAGTCAGATCACTCGGCTCAATGGTTGCGACAGGGATGCTAGTATGATGCTAGCAGCTAAGAGATGTATCCCGGGGAACCCCATCGGCACTCCGGAAGATAATCAGTCCCTTGACCATGCAGGCATGGCTACGGAAAGCAGAGACGTTCCGTTCCATAGATCCATGGATGCGTTAGACTTTTATTTCCAGCGAATCATTCATTCGTGCCCAGAAACGAGACCCATATTCCCGCCGAGAAGAGCAGCATTCGGGGAGAAAACCGAATCGGAATTAGTAGAATAAAGTCCGAATGGATCTAAAAGAATTATCTCCGCCTGGGTTATCGGTTATCGGCACGCTTCTATCTGATTACGAGATAACCAAGAACGTTGACTCCCACTGTTCTACCTGTATAGAGTAGGATAGTATGCGGAGTGCACTGGGGATGGCAGGTCATTCCGGGGCATCGTTAAAGAGATAGCCATACAATACAAGGTCTCTACAGAGCACTCCATACAAGCAGAACTACATAGCACGGTAGATGATCAGTGGACCTGACACTCGTTTCAGCATAGTTTTAACTCCGGAAAAGGTGAAAAAGTCGGAAAACCATGGTTAGCTGCGCTGCTTAGCCTTTTAGGGCCCCGCTTGTCCTGCTTGGGCCTTGGATTTGTCAGAGCTGCTTGCAGTTTTTTCTTTTATTTCATCTTTTTCTCTCTTTGTCTGCTGTTGTTTGTTACTTCTTGTCTGGGGTTAACTTCTGGACGGTTGCTATATCCGAACGACCGCCTATCTTAACGGAGTATCCAGTCACCAAGAGAAACGAGACAGAACCGATCAGTTTGATAGTGCCAAGATGGGTGCGAATGTCGACGTCGAAGAATCGGCCGCCGTGGCCTCTCCTGACAACATCGAGAAAAACGAGACAAGCCAGCAGCCTTACGAAAAGGAAGAACATGTCTACGACACAGGTCTTGAGCCATGGATGCAAGTGCTCGGTTCATGGTTTCTGTTCTTCAACTCATGGTATGTAACTCATTGGTCTAGTGGATGTTAAACTATTCTAACAAACTGATGTATAGGGGCGTGATTAACACATGGGGCGCTTTCCAAACATACTACGAGCAAAACCTCCTCTCGAACATGTCGTCGTCGGATATCGCTTGGATCGGATCGTTGCAGTCATTCCTTCTCATGCTTTTCGGAGTCGTCACAGGCCCGCTTTTCGACGCTGGATACTTCCGGTATCTGCTCACCTTTGGCAACATCATGATGCCGTTCGCTTTGATGATGGTTAGTATCTCCTCGAAGTACTGGCACTTGATCCTTGCGCAAGGTGTCGTCATCGGACTTTCCAGTGGATGTCTGTTCGTCCCGTCCGTCGCCATTCTACCGCAATACTTCAAGAAGAGAAGAGGTCTGGCCAACGGAGTCGCAGCCTCGGGAAGCAGTATCGGAGGTGTGGTGTATCCCATCATGTTCAACCAGCTCCAACAAAAGGTTGGATTCCCATGGGCAACGCGCGCAGTCGGCTTTCTCTGCCTGGGAACAATCTGCATCTCCCAACTCACAATGAAACTGCGATTTTCTCCCAAGGACAAGCGCAAGCTCTTCATCGTCTCCGCTTTCAAGGAACCCCAATTCGTCATGTTCTGCATCGCCATGTTCCTGGGTTTCATGGGCTTCTACAACTTCCTCTTCTACGTCCAGTCCTACGCCATCGACACGGGTATCGTCGGCTCGGAACTGGGCTTCTACCTTCTCGCTATGCTCAACGCCGGTTCCACTTTCGGCCGTATCTTCCCCAACTTCATTGCTGACCTTACGGGTCCTTTGAATGTGCTTACTCCCGCCGCTACAGCAACTGCTATCCTAGCCTTTGCCTGGATCGGCGTCCATAATGTCCCCGGTATCATCGTCCTGGCTGTCTTGTATGGTCTGTGCTCGGGTGGATTCGTCTCTCTGCCCGCTGTGGTTATGGCTACTATGACTCAGGACGTTCGGGAACTGGGAACCCGGCTGGGTATGGTTTTTGCGGTGACATCGATTGGATTGCTGATTGGTACTCCTATCGGTGGTGCTATTTTGAGTGACTCGGGGTCGTACCTGGGTGTTCAGCTGTTCACTGCTTGCTGTCTTATTACTGCTTCTGGGTTTTTCGTGACTTTGCGACTTATGCGCACGGGTATCACGTTCAAGGCTCGGGCATAATCACACCACAGAAGAAAAACAAAAACACCAAGAGTTCTTGCATGCAAGACTTCAACCCTATTACCATCGTCTACTAATGCCTAATTTTTATTTTTGTTGTCGTTTCCAGCATCCGGGGCATACCAAAAGTCATCGTTTTCTTGCATGTGCTTGTTCTGTCGTTCTGCTCATGATACCAGGTTTCAGTATGGACTACGAGGTTATGTACTAGCATGCAAGTTATATTTAATGGTTTGGTCAGGTTTGCATATACTGTTTTTGAGGGATAGCGATATGGGATAGAATCCTGTACATACTTTGCATATAAACATCATAGTTATAATTCAGTTTGCTTACATCATAACGATTGCATAGTTAACTAGCTATCAATTGTACATTGCAAGTAGATCTCATTCATAACACCAATTCCCAATGCTCGCTAAATCAGGCCAAGCTCTTCTCTAAATCATTATCCCCATCTCATATCCAACGATTAGAGAACATCCTCCGGCCCAACCGGGAAATCCTCCCCATTCTCCCGAACATGCTCGAACTTCTTATCGCGACTGCACGGTTTCCGCATATCATACGCATCCTCACCCGTCTCAGACATCCCGCTAGGATCGTCACTGTAATAATTAACCACGCGACGGAAAACGGAGTACCTATTAAAACCCAACTGTTAGCAATCTCCCCGCCGGAATCGTCAAACAAACAAAAGGAGGAAAAACTCACCCCATCCCCTTATACATGTCCACAGCTACCTTATTCCCCGCCCTAACATACAAATCCACAAACCACGCGTTATTAATATCCGATCCCCGCTCAAGTCGTTCCGTAAGTCTTCGCGCAAAACCAAGTCTTCGCCATGCAGGCGCGACAGTAAGAACGGTGATATGCCCGTGCCAGGGGGTGTAGTGCTCGGAGTGGCGCATGGAGGGGTGTTGTTCTTCTAGTTTGCCCATGACTGTCAATTGCGTTAGCATACCCCCAATTTCAGCGTGTTTGTTGAGAATGTGGGGAGAAGGGGGGGGGGCGCACTATATCCGGCGATGCCTTCCCCGCGGTCTTGGACGACGCTGAAGAGCGACGGCCACCGCATTAGGTAGTTGAGATAGAAACCTAGGTCATAGTTTTCGGTGAGGGGGTCGAGGTTTGTGAGGTTGAGGGAGAAGAGGTCTGTTGGGGTCATGCGGCGGATGGAGGTCATTGTTGCGGGTGGTTATTTTTGCTGTTGCGCGGATGCGGTTTCGAGCGTGGGCTGGAGATATGGTTCGTGCGACGTAAACAAACAATCGATAATCACATGCAGGGGTATCAATAATTCAGAAAAACAAAGCACCAAGTAGGAATGTAAACGATGGGATTCCGGCGCGACGAAAACGGTGCCAAAACTGCCCGAATCGACGATAGAAGCCATCATCATCGGCGGTGGGGTCGGTTTGGGGTTTTATCGGTCACGGGACCACCGTTTTCAGGCACTCCATCAGCCTCGCTTTCAGGGGACAGGCAAATAAAAACAAACGCTAGTTAGTTATTATTCACCTGAAAGGGTGTCTCCCGAGTTTCAATTATTCTGCCTGACTATCATTTCGAGAACTCGATTTGACGCCTTTTGAACCCGACTTAAACCGCAGTATCTCCTGTTGACCTGCTGTGCCCCTATTATCGGCCATTGCGGAGTGACGTTTCACCACCAAAACTACATAAACAACTCCTTGCGCTGGACATTCACCTCGATTGTTCTGGCATCGTCGAATTAATCTTTATTCTATCTGAAGAATTCCTCGTTCAGAGTCAAGGTCAAACCTGCAGCATGCCACCATCTCCCCTGAACATCCCTCACCGCCATCCCGATACCAACGGCGGCTTCGAGCCCCTCTCCCCGGGCACCTATGGGAACGAATTCCCTCACAGTTCCAGCCCTCCACGCACAGCAACCCCTCCCACCCCCGGCACGCCCCGCCAACAAGGCATGATGAATGTGAACGCCCCCCACCGCGGCTCCGTCGACGTCGACCTTACCGGCACCTCCGCAGATGTAGGCGGCGGTGCGGGCCTGGGCAACCTCGCAGATGAACTAGCAGACGCATGGGAGGAAGAAGAAGAAGAAGAAGAAGAAGAAGAGGGGTATGGATACGGGTATGGGTATGCGTCGGGGCAGGAGACTCATAACGGTCCCGTGGATTCACAGCAGCAGGATGTGAGTGATGGGGAGGAGGATTATGAGATGGGGGGCGGTGGTGCGAGGACGCCGTCGTCGGGGTATTCAGTTGAGCATAATACATTGCATCCGCCGAAGCCGAAGGGGAGGAATGCGGCTCAGAGGCATAGGCGGCATGAGTCGCAGTATGATGGGTCGGATTATGGGAATGATTCGGATCTAGAGGAGGCGGCGGATATCTCGCCTAGTTTGGAGGGGCAAATGGCGGAGATTGAGAGTCTGGCGAGACGGGGGATGGAGAATAATGGTAGTGAGAATGATCATGTTATCAAGCGGGCTGTTGAAGCCCTGCGGGATTTGGGTGGTCAGAGTGGAATTGAGAATAATGCCATGCGGTAAGTCCCCCTCTTTCTGTAGATGAGTTGAGATACTAACTTCTACAGACTCATCACAGCACACACCTCTATCACATCGCATCTAACCCACCAAACCCGCACCCTCCAAACCCTCACCCACCCCCTCCTCTTCTCGCCCTTCCCCCTCCTCTCCGAAGACGCAATCGATGCCCTCATCCCCTTAATCGACGCCGAACTCCTCCCAAACCTCCCCTACCCTTTCCCCGGCCAAGCACGCCACAGCCACTCCTCAACAACAACCACAACACCAGCAACATCGCGCCCAGGAACCCCACACTCCCACTCCCACTCAAATTCAACCTCACACTCACACTCTCGCACCCACTCACAACCACAAGCACACGCAAACCCTCTATCCTCCCTCCAAACCCTCATCTCCCAAACCTCCGACCTAACCCACTCGCTCCAAGGCCTCAGCGACACGCTCTACGAATCCCGCCAACTCACATCCACCGCCTCACGCCGGCTGCGCTCAGCCCGGGAACTTGTTTCCGAATTACGACGTGAGGAAGAAGGGCGCGAGGAAGGGTCCAGGTGGCTTGAACGCGGGGATTGGGATCGGAAGTTGAAGGAGAGGGAGGCGGGGAGGGAGTGTGGGGATGTGGTCAGTGGGTTTGAGGCTGTTTGTGGGGAGTGGAGGGAAAGGTTGTTTGGGGCTGCGGCTGGGGAGGTTGCTGCTGCTTGATGGGTGATTTTTGTGCTTTGCTTGAATGTTGGTTGTTGATTTGTTGGAGTTGGAGTTGCAGATGATACCTTTGGAAGATCGACATTTACTAGTACTTAGATGATGTATACCCCTGAGTACGGTATATAAATATTTCTCTTCATGTTTATAGGTTTATTTTTTCAAGGAACAACGGGACATACAGATACTTCGTTGAGTAGATAACTGACTTATGGCACCGAAGTGCCATGTAGATGATTCCAATCCTCAGATATTGGAGACTTTCGAGCTTAGGAAAAGCATACAGAGGCAAGTCAAATTAATCATATATCACCCACAGGTAGAGAAACAGCGTCAGTCTAGCTGACACTTGGACAATAAGATCCAAAACGAAGGTAATGAAAGACATTATGTTCATCAACAACATTCCAGACATGACAACTTCATTTACTGGGACACATGCAACTAAGGAAGACATCACATCAAGGGACAGAAAAGATCCAGAGGACTGAGACCCCTGCCAACTTTTCCCCTTTTCATTCTGCAACTCATAACAAAGGGAGGAATAAGTAAAAAAGTAAGAGAGGAAATAAGTAACGTAAACAATGGACAAAGAACTATGCCAACAAGGTTGAAATAAATAAAAAAAAAGACATGCCATACAGGAAAGAAACTTTTTTTTTTTCCTTCTACCTGTTCTCAAAGCAAACCAACGTTAACTTTATTGCTGCTGCTTCCACCGGGGCGTCCACTTCTGGGTCGCAGGCTTGGATTCGTCGGATGGTTGAGGGTGGACGGGCGCTTCCGCACGACGGGGCACGAAACGCTCACGCTCCGGCTGGGCACCGTTCGAGGGAGCGGGAGCGGACGGGGTTGCGTTACCGCGCAGGTGAGGAGGAACGTATCCGCCAGTCTTCCGGAGAGGCGGGACGTCCTCCTTGGGTTGTTCAGCTGCGGGGGCAGCAGCAGGGGCAGCATCAGCGGGGGCCGGGGCAGCAGGACCGCCAGCGGCTTCCTTGGCGGCTTGACGTTCTCTCCAGCTGGTTCCACCGGTGCGAGGAGCAAGGTTGAGACGCGGACGTTCGCTACGTTCGGGCTCGGTACGAGAAGGAGCAGGAGCAGGAGCAGCAGGCTCCGTTTTGCGAATGGCACGACGGGCTTCTGCTTCCTCCTCACGCTGCCTCTGGCGGGCGGCGGTCTCATCGAGTCTCCTGTGAAAATTATTAGCTATGTTTTCTGTTTGGAATTTGGGGTAAAGGAAAACTAACTTTCTCTCCTCCTCACGCTTAGCCTTCTCTTCGGCGAGACGGCTTCTACGCTCTTCCTCCTTAGCGGTTCTCTCCTCCTCCTCGCGCGCGATGCGCTCCTCCTCTTCCTTCTGCTGGCGCTCGGCGGCCTCACGCTCCAGACGCTCACGACGGCGACGCTCCCGGACCTCCTTGACACGCTGGTTCTTCTTGGTCTCGAACTCTCTTTCAGCGCCCTTGCGACGCTTCTCGAACTCCTCGTGGCGCTTCTCGGAGACTTCCTTGCGGAAGCTGTTGAAGTAAGGCACCACACGGCTGAGACGGTGCTTGAGAGCGACGGCCTCCTTGTGCTTGAGCTCAGCCTCCTGGAGAGTCTCGGCCTTGGCGGCCTCGAACATCTCCAAGTCGCGCTTCTTCTGAGCGTCGTAGTCCTCGGGGATGTGCTTGAGTTCCTCGCGACGGAAAGCACGTTCCAAGTGGTCAATACGCTTGCCAATGGTGCGCACCTTGTCGTTCAGCTCATTCTTCTCCTTCTCAAGCTGGGCCAACTTCATGGCCCGCAGGCGGTTAGCATCGAGGTCCTGCAGGTCGATTTCGCTGAGGTCAATGCCCTTGACACCAGTCTTAAGTTCATCGATCTGCTTCTTGAGTTCCTGCTGGCGGATGCGCTCCTGCTCATCCCGGAGACGCTTCATCTCACGCTCGCGTTGCTCATCCAGCAACCGTTGCTTCTCAGCCTCCTGGATTTGCTGGGTGCGAATACGCTTGCGGGCATCCTCCTCACGCTGCTTCCGCTGGACGGCATCGGTAGCGGCCTCCTTCTTCTTCTCGATAAAGGCACGGCGAGCCAAGGTCTCCTCGTGCTCCTTGGCTAGACCAGCCTCAGCACGAGCCTGGGCAGTCTGCTTGGCCTGAATACGCGTCTCGTTGTAAGCAGGGTCGACGTACATGCAGGTAACGTGGAGGGTCTTGGCGAGGCGGGTGAGCTGCATACGGGCGATCTCCGCAGGAGTGTTCTGCAGACGCTGGACGGCGCCAACTTCGTTCTCAGCGGAGCCGGCAGCGCTGCCGTGGTGCAGGGCCTTGGAGGACGAGAAGACATCGGTCTCGAAAGTGAGAACGCCCGACGTGTGGTTCACACGGATGGCGAGGTCTCCCTTCTTGCAACCGTTCATGATGAACTTCTCAATCATAGAAGGAGTGACCTGGAAGGGGTCAGGGAATTGAGCGAGGTCATAGACGAACTTGAGTTCGACCGACTCGTAGACCTGGGAGAGCTGCTGGAAGAGACGGGTGAGGATGACCTGCTGCAAGGGCAGGACGTACTTCTCCATCTCGGGGTCGGCACCGATCTTCGTGAGGATCGGGGTGATCTTCTTGCAGATGGAGAGTGGGTGGAAGTCGACCTCGAGAATGTTGTACAAGTCACGGATTTCAGGACGAGCACGGCTGAGCAAGCCCTTGTTAAGGGCATCCCGGAAGAGAACAGAGCGAGAGGGGGGAGTGGCCATGCCCAGCAAGTTGGTGAGACGGGTGTTCTTGTTCTTGCGGGCCTCGTCAACATCAACCAACGCACCACGAGAGCGAGAAGTGCTGATGACGGGAATAGCCAAGGCGGACAGGAGGACGAACGAAGCAGCCTTGGTCATTTCGGTCTCGGAGATGGAGGGGTTGTCCTTTTTGCTACCTTGGCCAGTGGCCAGGGTCACGGAAGACTGACGCAGAAGGTTGTAGTACCGGTTCCAGGCAGCGGCGTGGAAGAGGTAGTTCTCGCTAACGAGGAAGATACGGGTGAGCTTCTCGTAGTAGTTGGCCATCATCAGGTTCTTGGCGGGGCGCTTGCTCAGGCTCAGAAGAGTGTGGATATCCTCGATACTGCGGAAAGCCTCCTGCCAGAGCTCCAGCTCGACGGCGACGTTGAGCTGCTGGAAACGAGTGTCAAGGTGGCGCTGCAGGGTGTCGGCGTCACTCAGATTGATGGCGTGCATCTGAGCAGAGTACTTGGCGGCATTCTGGACGTGGTTCCGGAGGAGCTCACAGAGACGGCGGAACTCGGTCTTGCGGGTGTACTTGAGACAGAACTGGAAGGCCTGCAGGGCGGTGGTCTGGTACATAACCTCGAGACGGGCATTGTTCTTCAGGATCTCGAGAACGGTACGGTAGGTTTCCCACAGAAACTTGAGCCACGGGGTCACGACAGCGCGGTCAGTACGGTCGCGGGACTGCTCACCAGAAACAGTGGCGAGCAGGATAGTCTCGGGGGTTTCGATGGCTTCGAGATCTTCAACGTTCGACGAGGGAGCAGCGGACTCGAGGGAAGACTGAATCTCGTCGGCCTTGGCCTGGGCCTCGGTGACCTTCTTTTCGGCGAGTTCGATGAACTTCTTCAGGACGGTCTATAGAATCCAAATCAGCCCCATCCACATATGTATCCTTATGATTTAGATCGTACCTCGATAGTTCCAACGTTGGTATTCTGAGCGATGTTCTTGTACTGGTAGAGACCATCCTTGGCGGCCTTTCCTTTACGGAGCTCGACGCAGAGTTCAACGAACAGCAGCATCACCGGCTCGAGCGAGGCGATGGGGCTGCTGCGCGTCCTCTTGGAGGTGACATGTTCGTGAAGGACGTTGAGGGCAGCAGGGGACTGGCCCACGGCGATGAGTTCTTGAGCCCGCTAGAACAACAAATTCGTCAGCCACCACTCTATCTCACCCACACCTCTTTTATATCCTCCTATCCCAGCAAACCATACCTTGAGAATATTCTCGGGCTTAATATGCGGCGGCGGCGGCATGATGGGCGGTACCCCTTGGGGTCAAAAGAATCTGGCGTTGGGCGGCGGGCAATCGGTAGAATCCACAAAGGCGAAAAAACTTCAACGACCCTCTTTCTGGCGGTTTGCTGTCAACAACGGGTGGGCGGCAGCAAAAAATCGAGGGCGACAAGCGAGGAAATAGGTCCTTGCTATGTCTTCTGTATTAAATATTTCAAATAAAGATGACGCTGCCACGCGACGGTCGGACCAAAGAGGAAGAATTGGTGCCGGGCGGCGGTCGTTGTGCGAGAATCACCTGAGCGGGCGATAAGCGATGGTCACGTGAGCCCGCCACGATATTGTTCTTTCAACTGACAACGTCTACAGGATTTAGCAATAATTTAGATATAAAACAATAATTACCCCTGTCTATCTCTTTTATTTATATTCTCGTTTTTATTATAATTGTGTTGGTGGGGACATGTGGGTTGCAATCCCGGCTAGGTGTTGTTAAACAAGCCATGTTGCCATGTTCGATGCTATATATCGACAATCTCAATATCTATTTACACAAGTATCTTACAGTTATTGCGTCAGCATCATGCTGCTCCAATAACAATGCCACTTGGCAGCTCCAATCCAACAGGCAGTCCGCATAAGAAACTACCCATGTACGTCTGGCCTTGCTTCACTGCGAGCTTCTCCTCGATGTCTTTGTACATGTCGTATCTGGGGAACGGATCAGCATGAGCAGAATGAATGGGAACGAGGATGACTTACGCGTTCATCTCCTCGATCGTCAGCACGTTCTTTTGGTCCTCGACGCGGTAGGTGGGGATCTCTTTGTTGCACGAGAAGCCTGATGAAGCACGTTAACATGGCTGTTCATATCGAGTCCAGAAAATGGAACTCACCAATCCGCTCGTTGATATTATATGCAGCTCTAGCCGCAGCAGACTGCACCCGAGTGACACGCGGCAACCGAACCTCCTCATAAACAGCAAGTGCCTGACGAATATCTCCTGAAAAGTACCGCCTGCTGAACAAGATCCCCAGCGCAGCAGCATCCTCAATAGCCATACAAGCTCCCTGGCTCTGATGCGGCATCATTGGATGCCCAGCGTCCCCAAGAAGACACACATTCCCCCGCTGGATATACGGATACGGCTCATGCACCCAAAGCCGCCACGGCTGAATCTCCTTCCCAATACCCAGATGGCCAAACACCTGCCGATCAAGCTTGGGATACGGTGCCAGAAGTTCATCCGTGCTGCGACTCTCAGCGCCCCAGCTCTGGGTGGTATAGTCGCCTTGTTCGCGCGGGAAGAAGCAGTAGTAAGAAAGGAGCTTGCCGCCGTTGCAGGGGGAGAGGACGATCTTGTCCCATTTGCCTTCCTGGCCGCCCCAGTACTCGAGTGCGCTGTCTTGGGAGTAGTCGACGAGGCCGGCTTTGACGGCTTCTTCGGTTGTGACGTTGGCGTGCAGGCAGCTCTGGTCGGAAGGCTTCTTTTCAGGGCGGATTCCTAGGATGCCACGGACGGCGGAGCCGATACCGTCTGCGCCGATGATGAGGTCGTGGTAAGCGATGGCTTCGTTTTCGAATGTGATTTCGCCTGTGTGCAGGTTGATGTCGCGGCACTGCACAGCTTAGCACCATAGAAAGTACTTCTTGATGTGGTCGACTTACCCGGTAGTTAACTTTTAACACCGCCGGAGTCCCCTCTCCCTCCTCACCAAGTGCAGAATCCTTTAACATGGCATGCATATACTGCCGATGGAACATATTATACACATACCCCCACCGCTCTTCATAATCATCCAGATCGTATATGCTGACCGGCTCACCAGTCTTCCAGTCACGGTTGATAAGCTTCTTCAACACAACGGGATCACCCTTGGCCACATCCACGCCCCATTCATGCAGCCACCTGGTTCCGTTGGCAGCACAGGAGACAGACGCGCCTACTTCACCGGCGTAGTCGGACTTCTCGTAGATGGTGACGGCGTGACCCGCGCGGCGTAGGGCTATCGCGACGGACATACCGCCGATACCACCGCCAACCACGCCGACGTTGAGACAATTCCAGTTGGACATTTTGATGTTTTGCAAAGGACGCTCAAGAAAGAAAAGAATATGATGAGATGGAAAAGGGAAGACTTTACTCAGAGACAACTCGGGGCTTATATACCCATTCCATGTCTCATATTACTCCGATGTACTAAATCACCGGACCGTCATCATCATGCACCATTCCACGCGGTGTGCGGCCCGCGCACGACCCTGATAGACCTGTATGTGGCATACCGAAACTCTCTGTGCCCTGCACGAAGAAATCTGCACTCTGTATCCGTAATCGACTGAGATAATCCATCCTGATCCACCGACGATAAGCGGTGCCCGGGCCGCACCCGCACGCATATCGGGTCGGGTTTGCCTCAATTTGTACGGAAACTGGCTGCGTCAATTATATCATGGTAGGTGATATCCGAGGTTATGATTGATTCTTGATTATGAATGTTTGCTATGGGGATGGAATATTTCCGTTGTGGTGGTGGATGGTTTTCTAATGATGATGCGTAGCGTAGCGTCTATAAAGTAATGCTGTTGTTCTCGTATTGCATAACTACTTTTTGTACAAAGTAACTTTGTCTAGCTGTGATCGACTACTTCTGCAGAATGCTCGGAAAGATCGCCCTCGAAGAAGCCTTTGCCTTGCCTCGTTTTGAGGAAAAGACTCGCTGGTGGGCTAGTCTTTTCTCTACCGACGCAGAGCAACATGTACGAGAAATCACGGATATCGACACGCTTCGTATCGAATACGCCGATAAGCATGGCGTTGGCTATCAAATCCTCTCGTATACGGCCCCGGGTGTCCAGGACATCTGGGACCCGGAGGAGGCGCACGCCTTGGCGGTTGAGATCAACGATTACATCGCTGAGCGCGTTAGCAAGGCATCGGATAGACTGGGGGCGTTTGCGTATGACCATTCCCATCTCCTGCAGCTTCTGCATAGGGTATGTACTTATGTTGATGACGATATAGGACGCTGTCCATGCACGATCCCACCCGAGCCGCTTCTGAACTCCGTCGCTGTGTGGAGACACACGGCTTCAAAGGCGCCCTCGTAAACGACACCCAGCGCGCCGGCCCAGACGGCGACGACCTGATCTTCTACGACAACCCATCCTGGGACGTCTTCTGGCAGACCTGCACCAACCTCGACGTCCCCCTCTACCTACACCCGCGCAACCCCACAGGAACCATCTACGACAAGCTCTGGGCAGACAGGAAGTGGCTCATCGGCCCGCCGCTCAGCTTCGCGCAGGGCGTCAGCCTACATGTCCTGGGCATGGTGACGAACGGGGTCTTCGACCGACACCCGCGTCTGCAGGTGATCCTAGGCCATCTGGGTGAGCATATCCCGTTTGACATGTGGCGGATTAACCACTGGTTTGAGGATCGGAAGAAGGTGTTGGGACTGAGGGAGACGTGTAAGAGGACTATCCGGGAGTATTTTGCGGAGAATCTGTGGATTACGACGTCGGGGCATTTCTCGACGACGACGTTGAACTTTTGTATGGCGGAGGTTGGGGCGGATCGGGTTTTGTTCTCGATTGATTATCCATTTGAGAGGTTTGAGGAGGGATGTGGGTGGTTTGATGGGGCGGAGATGAATGAGACTGATCGGGTGAAAATTGGGAGGGAGAATGGGAAGAAGTTGTTTAAGCTGGGGGAGTATAAAGATTCGAGTGCTTAGCCCTCTCTTTTCGTCTCATTCCGTGCTGGTATCCATATCTCATCGGATGAGTCGGGATGGTCTTCCGTTGCTTCTCTGCGTTGTCCTGCAAGTGATGCATGTCTGTTATGATTCGTCCTCGTTACTATCAATGGAATTATTGTCGCATTCTGCAAGCAATATATCACCCACACTCTGTGAGCTATCGTCGCATTTTGGCTTTCCGGATGGATATATCGGATGCGCGTCACGTGAATTCTGACCAGCGTTTTAAGACGAATCAATGACAGGAATATTTTTGACGCATATTATATCTGATCGAGTGCTATTAGAAGAGCTCAATAGCAGAATACAAATACAAGTACAGTCATCGCAGAATAAAACACAGAGTGATCCCCGGCGGTCATATAGCAGAAACTCGTTCAGGGGCTCTGCTGCGTAATTTCCCACTGGATCTCAGACCAACTTTTTTCTCCTCCTTCTTTCTCCTCTTTCTTCCTTTCTCTCTCTTTTTCTCCTAATTCGTGCTTTTCTGCTCCCTCGTCACTCTCTTTCTTTCATCTCTACTTATTAACCTACTATTATTTACTGTCCTTTATTTCATTCCATTCGCTTCTTCCGCTGCCGCCAGTCGCGCCCATCCTTTTCCCTCCCTGAGAGAGCTCCCCACACACACAACGGCTCTCCGTCCAGCCGACCGTTTCAAACGCGCGCGAATCTCCAATTCGATCCTCCAATCACCCCTTACTGTGCACCACCAACACTACTACCTTCGAATCTCACCACCTATCCTTATACTACGACTATTATTCGCAAACGATAATATCACATCATACCCAATATGCCCGCTTACGAATTGCGATCCGGGGGAGACGTCAAGAACAAGAAGCAGAGCGTCGCGGACCTCAAGTACCGCCGGCTTACAGAGCTCAACGCTCGTCTCAAGGAGGACCTCGACCGTCCGCGAGTCAAGGTCTCCGAGGCTTCCATGTCGTAAGTCTTGCGGCCGTAATGCGACGTCACCGGATTCGATAGCTTACTCGTCGCTAGGTTGATTAACTACTGCAACAACACGCGCGACTTTATGGTTCCCTCCGTATGGGGTCAAGTACGATTCTCTTACTATGCTCAGTCGGATTCCAGTCTAACAATGTCTAGGTCGACAAGCGCGAAGACCCCTATGCTCCCCAGCAACAAGGAGGCTGCTGCACGGTCATGTAATGCTTCTCATGACGTCCCAATGCTCGTTCTGGCTCGGATGGACTGGATCCGACCTGCCAGTCCATCGTCGCTGATTTTCATTTCCCCTCTTCGTTATCTCGCCATGACTTACTTCCGCCTAATCTTCTACTTTTCTTTTTGTTTCATACCCCTATTTATTAAGGAAACCGCGCGACGGCGCATTCCGGGTTATTAATGTTGAGGCCAAGTGCGCGCTGGGTTACATGGGCCGGGCCGACATTTACCTGTGAATATGGCTGTTAATTTTTACTTCGGTCTATCGCGCCGCACTGGAGGATGCGCTGATTTACTGTGTCTTTATTCTATTTCCTTGGTTTTTTTTCTGGTATTGGTCATTTTCGATTTTGATATCTCGTTTCTGGTGTCTGTCCTTTGTCCTTGTCCTGCCGTGATGTCGACCTTACCTTTTCTATTTCGATGGGATCAGGATGAAAGAAAATTGTCTCCCGCGATCCTCGGGACGGTGCGATTCTGGATTAAAATTCTTGTAACATAGATTAACATAACCTTTAATAATGTTATGCGAGTCTAGTATGTGCTGCGATGTAACCCTGACATCATCCGGTCCAAATTTAATCGGCATATCGTACAAAATATATTGCTCTATGCAAATATTTGAATAACCATGCATCCTGTGCAGTGTTTGGAGCAATCTGCCAGCCTTGCTTCTGAAACAATTTTGTTCCGTGGAACTATCATCCCGTGAGATAGGTGTATGCAGTATCCCATAAAGTAAGGCCCGAAGTTCCCCAGTGTCATCGTCTTCGAATGTATATTCCTCGTAACGATTGCGCCGTAAGTCTAGGCCAGAGATGTTTCGAGATAGGGTTGATTTGCGTAGGTACGGGCCTGGCGATGCCCAGAATGCCTTTTTTGCGTCAATTCGGCGAACGCGTTGTGCCTTTCATGGTTCAGAAAATTTAAACGGAATCTGTCCTGATTGTGCTTAGCTGAATTAACCGACTCTTGTTTGCCTGTTGCGGCCATAACGCAACACATGCACAATGGTGTTTGAGTATGCTCTCAGGAGGAAGTTATCATTCACGTCCAGATTCCGGCCGTCGCTTGAGTCAAGTCTCAGACTCATCTTCGATGTCTTGTTCCATTGCCCTGCGCTGTCTGTTCGGTACATATAACTCCTCTGCAACTTGGTTGTACTGCTTCAATATAGTGTGCATCTCACACTGTTACTCAGAGGCTGTAATAGCCCTCGAGGACAGACAAGCAAATCATCCTTCCACGTGGTAAAATAGTATTTTTCCAATTACAAGCTATAATCTTGTTCTCGAGTAACTCTAAAGTGCTCGAGGCAACGGATAAAGTGGACATCCGCGACGCATGACTGGCTTGTCTCTGTTTGCGTACAGCTAGTTGAGCCGTGTAATCTGGGCATAGCAGATTAGGGTTCGGTGTGGGGATTGGGGGTTGATCCGTGTTGAGTTGGAGGGGGTGTGGAGGAGAGAGAAGTAGAAGAAGAAGAGAAGGGCCCGTTTGAGTAGTTTATCCTTCTTTCTTTTGAGGCAGTGAAGGAGTGTCTTGGCATGCATGAATGCGTTTGTCTAAGTCGAACTTCAACAAGCTTTGAACTTCAATTACTGGTGTTGGCAGTATTTACATTTAGGCTGAAGCGGTTCTTCCCAGAATGTGATTTCGAACCACTATTGAGGGAGGTCGTTGCCGGTGTCGGATTCCCGATAAGGCGGAGCGGAGAATACTACTCTTGACATCATCCATAATCCCGCCTCATCTCAAATATTTCGAGCTCTGAGTTAGTTCAATATCCACGAAAGATATTGTATAAACAAAATGACAGAACCAATGCCCCCAATCGAACAACGCACCCCCACAGAACAGCACCAAAAACTCGGCAGCGACAATATCACCGCCGAGCGCGTCTATCTGCCCCGGATAACCATCAAATACTGCACACAGTGTAAATGGATGTTGCGCTCTGCCTACGTACGTCTCTTTTTAAATAACAAATGCGTAATGAAATGCAGGTACTAATTAAGGCAGTTCGCCCAAGAACTCCTCTCAACCTTCAACACCGATCTCGGTGAAGTCGCTCTAATCCCCTCCACCGGCGGAGTCTTCACGGTTACCATGTACCATGCCTCTGACGAGACGCTTACGACTAGTGAGACGGTACTGTGGGATCGGAAGACGAATGGAGGATTTCCAGGTATCTTTCCCTCTACCACTATATACGCACTGAGTAGAGGGTACTAACTACAGCAGAGGTAAAACAACTCAAAGCCCTGGTGAGGAATATCGTCGACCCCTCGCGCTCGCTGGGACACACGGATCGAGCGCTGAGGGCGGCAAATGTGCCTACGCAGACGCAGACGGAGGCTGGTTCTGATGGGAAGAGGGGGTCTGTGAGTGGGGTGAGTCAGGATATGGAGAGTGCGACTGCGAATGTGCATGGAAAGGAGAAGGAGAGGTGCGAGGAGTGTCAGTAAACTTGTCCAGATTTTCGGGGACCGAATTGGGTAAATGATACCAATGGTTTTGTTTGCTTGATGACTCAACAAACATGACCTTTTCCATCCTATGTGCCTGTAACCTTTACTTCATGTTTATCTGTAGCTATAGTACAAAATGACCCCCATCCCAAAATGAACATTCTTCGCTCTCCGCACCCGCACAATGACACTAACCCTCCCTCCTCTCGGCCCTCCCACTCTGCAAAATGAGATCGTAGACGAGGAGAAACTTCCTCTACGACTCCAAGACCTTCTACCCAGTCAAGCCCGGCGAGACCCTCGGTGACAAGTACCAAGCATTCGTCAAACTTGGCTGGGGCGTGATTCGATGATATGGCTGGCTAAGGATGTGAGGTTTGTATTTTGCCCTCAACTCTGAACTACCGGTACAGAGCATCAGTATTGATACTTGATAGACTTAGCTTGCGCCCACGCTACGTAACTCTCAAAATCAGCAACAACGACGAGGCATGGAGGACTACATCGCCAAACAAAATCCCTCGCACATGGGCCATGCGATGATCCGCACATGTCTTGAGTCGTTTGAGATCCCCCATCCCGAGGATCAAGAGGCGAAGCACCTGTGTCTGGTATACAAGCCGATGAGGGAGCCGTTTTGGTTATACCAGAGACGATTTGTTGATGAGACGATCCCGTTGCCTTTAATCAAGGCGTATCTGACGCAGATACTTGGGGGTCTGGATTACTTGCATTCGGTCTGTGGGGTTGCGCATAATGGTGAGTTTTCTCTGTTTGTTTCTGGGTCTGGATTTGGATTATTGGACGTTGGCTTTGTAGATATTAAACTCGACAACATCCTAGTCTCATTCGAGAACGAAAGCATCATCCAGGAATTCATGGACGCACATCTCACAGAAACAATGGAGTACAAAATCGACTCCGCAGGTCGACATATTTTCAGCCGCCACAACGACTTCGGATTCCTGAGCAGCTTCAATGAGATTACGAGCATATTACCCACGATCACCGACTTTGGAACAGCCATGCGACTCAACCCAGGCGAACGCGGCGTCTTCCCCACGCACCCAGATCACTACCGTCCACCAGAAGCAACCTTAGGCTGTGGCTGGGATCATAGTGGTGATATTTGGATGGTGGGTATTCTCGTTAGTGTACCTTCACCTTTCTACCAAGATGATTCTAATTAAGTATATAGACATGGGAATTCATCGAACACACGGATTTATTCGAGCAATATAAACCTAACGGCAGGTACTGCGCACGACACCATCTAGCCGAGATGAGCGCCCTTCTTGGTCCACCTCCTCAGGAACTCATCGAGAGATCTGATAAGATGATTGAGAAGAAGTGGCCGGTGGCTGTGAGGCGCGAAGAAGGTCCGCTTATGCATAATGCGCTGCAATGTTTAACGGACCGTTTTTCAAGGATGGTATGTTACTTTCCCGATGCCTATCTGTGACAGAGGATTAACAAGGACAGGTAAATTCCTATACGAAGGCCTCATTCCACCGCGAAAACTGGAGGACACTGTTCCTTCTCTGGATAATGAGGAGAAGGCAAAATTCCTGGATTTCGTCAAGGGCATGCTTGCCTGGCTTCCGGAAGATAAGAAATCGGCGAAGGAGTTGATGAAACATCCATTTCTCAATTTCCGAAAATAAATCCATGTACATTGCTGTATGCATACAAACTACAGAGTAGCTTATATTCAATTATTTACCGCAACGGATGCCTCAAAACAACCTTCCCAAACCCGCTCCCAAAACCCGCCAATTCCCTCAATTCCTTCAACGCCTCCTCCGCGCTGCCCTCAAAGATCTTGACCACGGGCATCTCAAACTTCACACCATAATTCTCAACAGCCCAGAGAAACGCCTTCCGCGCGCGCTGGTTATCCTTCGGACGCGCAGGGATGGTAATGGTACCGGGAGCACCGGGTAGCTCGACAGTCACATCCTGACCAGGCGCTGCGAAGGGCATTTTGAACCGGGGGTCGTCCTGTAATACGGAGGAGATGAGAACTGTGTCGGTTGACGGGGAGGTGCAGTCTGCCATGAGTTTCGCGGAATCATTGCTTCCGACCGCGTCGAAGGCGTGTTTGAGTTCTAGTTTACTCTCGCGCAGCGCTGTCTTAATCTCCTCAACGACAGTCGGAGACTTGTAATCATAGCACTGCGTAGCACCCAACTCCCGTAATAGTGCATGCCGTTCACTCGATGCAGTCACGTAGATCGGATACACGCCGCTCACTCTCGCAAATTGCACAGCAGCCAGCCCGACGCTACTCGAAGCACCCCAGATCAAAAGTGGACTAGCCACTTTCCCTTCCCCCTTCCCCTCATCCTCATCCAGAGATGGAAGCGGAAACCCGAAAAAGTTATACAACGCATCTGCAGCCGTCATAACCACCACACTCAAACTCGCAGCATGATGTTCTGGCAGATTACTCGGCACATTGAACGCCAAATCCTCGGGACAAGTCAGATACCGCTGATGAGCACCATATTTGCTTTTTCTACCGAGACCGGTAGGCGTGAATCCGGCGACGATGTCACCGGGTTGGAAGGGGCTGTTATCAGACGCTGTCTGTATGACTTTCCCACAGAAATCATACCCCAGAATGGTAGGATAGATGCCCAGGATCGTGGCGTGCTTGATGTCAGCGGGATTGGCGCCGGAGAAGTGTGTTTCGATTATAATTTCGCCAGTGTCCGGGGATGGGGGTTTTTGGGTGTGAGTGACGCTGAAGGTTAGGTTTGAGTCGACGTATAAGGCTGGGTTGGTCATGGTGGACGTTTGGGGATGAGGGATGTGTAGGTTTTACGGAGGAGCACGGCTATAAGGATTATCTATATACCCCTCATGGGGCTGTGTGATACTATTGTAGTACAATGATAAGGTACCCTTGTCGGGGCCGATGTGGAACGTCGTACGTATACATATTGAGTGCTACGTCTAGGGCAACACGAAATCAAGTATTCATTTACTATGAGTGGAGAGATATAGGGGAATGATCTCCATGTTAGACTCTGCGTATGAACTAACCTACGAAATAGGGAGAATATCTGTTGAGCAAATGAAACCCATAAATACAACCGATTCAAGGTCAGTGCTTTTCTATCTTCTTGACCCGAGCTCAACCAGAATCTAGGAACTTTGATTTTTTCATAGGGTGCCGAACCATCTTTCTCATCATAGTAGACCTTGTCATCCGCTTCGTGGTTCACGGCCCGTGTGGGGGTGGATGGGCATTTTGTTCAGAAAGGCGAATTTTTTCTTGATTATGCTTTGCTGATTTGTTTTCCGGACGCCGACATGACGCGTGGGACAATGGTATTTGAGTATGGTCCGAGCAGACACCTTATGAATTTCGATTTCTACCAGGACTATCCTCATCTCTCTGAATTCCTATTTTCGCTCACCGGTCAAGAAGTGTATCCTCTTTTTGAACAACCGAGACACCGGGAAGAATTTATTCAGGCTTCGCGAGCCCTGGCAGAACTAGATCACGAGGATGACTGCTTTTCTAGGGCCGAAGAAGAGCGGTATTTTGCGCATGTTGATCCGGATGATATTGCTATCTCTCGGCACCTTACTATTATTGCCGAGTTAAACCCGCGTTTTGTGACGAGCGAAAGCCTTTGGAGCTGGATATCATTGTATGTGGACGAGCGGGACTTGCATCTATTCCCCGAGTTGGATACACCTGCGGATCAGGAACAAAGTGCGTCTAGCTTCTGTGTTCTGCACTGAATGCTTAATGGGCATGGTTTTACTTTAATATATATCAGGGTCATTTCAGAACCAATGTTTTAGAGTTAATTAAGGTCGCAACACTACACATTTTCGTGATGCCCGGTATCATGTGCCCAAGCTACTCGATCGTCTTAGCCGAATAATAGTTGTTACTCCACTGCTACAGTGCTTGATGGGTCCTTAATGATGCTCAGGATACGCGATCTCTTTCGTGGCTGCTTTTAATCCGGGTGTTGCAACTCGAGTGGGCTCGCGAGCCGACACTTCTGGCGTTGATGAATACTACCTACCCACCTCCATCTCTTCCCTTTTTCTCTCCAAAAAAATGGCTTACTTCTATTCTTCGAGAGCTCCTAATGTTGACGAAATTTGAAATAATTAATCTTTGAGTGATCTTTGAGCTTGAACCATATCGTGGGGCTCAGCGGCGTCGGACCCTATGCAAATCATGAGTACCACATAGCATTTTGTAAGACATCTCTTCCGTGTAACAAAATTGAGTATGTGCCGTATTAGTTGAAATTGTTGCCTTCAGTTGAAGAAGTGAGATCAGCATGCCGCATGGTACTACGGGATAGGGTTACAGGAGGCGGGATTATTATTATTATTATTCATACTCGCGTCTGTCGGCCCTGTTCGGCCGAGTGGCGGCAGGGTAAGCCGCCGTGATAGTAATCATTAAGTACATCGCCCATCTATATGTCATATAATATGCTTTCTCACGCGCTGGATACCCCGTACATCTCTTTATGCCACTGTTCCCAGGGCCGCGAAGACCCGCAGGCTTGCTGGATACTGCCTCGTCTCCATCCCAACACTTGCAAGTGTATGACCTTTTAGCTGCTAGGGTTCTAAACTAGCCTAGGAGACCTGTCTCAAGCATGAATCGTACTGCTTTTGGTGCTAGATCCGGTCAGGAGGCGGGATGCAGTGTAAGTTGTACCCTGTCTAGATTGTCCGGTGTTTTTTTTTTTTTTTTTTTTTTTTTTTTTTTTTTTTTTTTTCTACACGCACTGAATATGCAGGTCTTCCAAGAAAGCCCGAGGGAAGGTACCTTTTCCAAAGTATACTTCGTTTATCCACGAGATATTTGGAGGAAAAGTAATTCTCTCGAAGACATGTGAATGGGACGCAGGTAGATAGAAGAAAAAAAAGACTCGCCTACATTGATCACAATTGTATATCATGCTCTTAACATAGTGAATGATGCTTTCCAGGCAGATTTTGCTGGAAATTTGATACAGGTTCCTTCTACGAATAACGAGAAAACGTATACCTGTCGCTGCTTCGCTGGGAGGCAAGAGATAGTGTCCGGGGATGATATAGGTTAGAGAAGCTTCCATATTCAAGAACACTGAATACATATTTCAACATGCCTAAATTCGTGCCACTCACTGGCGAGACCAAAGATCGAAAAAGCTTGCGACGCGTCGGAAAAACGAACATTACAGCCTGGAACTCTTCCAAGAGCTATTCGATATCTTTATATCAGACGGTTTCTTCAATTTGGACTGAACCTAGCTAAAATATCATGAGAGGAGATGTGGATCGCGGACACTGTGTCCACCAAGAACAACAGTACAGTTATGTACCTGGTAAATAACCATAACCCAAAGACTGATATAGCGGCTGATGCTCAGGATGCTTGCATACAGATCCTTTTGAAGACTGGAGAGCATGTGTATGCTGAGGCTTCTCATGTTTGCCGTCGGGCATAAACAAGTACGCTTCACCCCTTCTCGTATTTCTCTCGCAAATGTCACTGTGTTTAATTGCTATGATTCAGCTTAACAACTGCAAGTGCGGGAGAATTCTTTCGCCTCTCCTCCAGTCTAACGATGTATTATCTACCAGTGGATAATAATAATTTGATACATATTTCTGTGCTCCACAAATCCTTAAAATAAATAGGGCACGTTGCTCTCAGTCTACCAACAATTGACCATAAAATTGGTGCCGTTCTCCATTCAATTTTTGATTGAAGTTCGTTTGGCCCATTTCTATACAAACTCAAGAGTGGTCTTTAATTGTTCTGCCATGATTTCCAGGGGAAAGCATTATTTACCCATCCACCACCATTCCATGTAGTGGCCAATGCTCTTCCTTTATTAATACAGCTCGAAGAGAGCAGTAAAAGCTCACAGCTACTATGGTGGACTTCTACTCAGCGGTAGTTGCTGCTTTTACACAGAGTACAGAATGGTTCCTAAATTCGATTCTGAAAAGTCAGGTTGGCTTCCGCACTTGAGCACCACCCACGCTTGTTCATACAGGGAATGGGACGGTTACTAGTCTGCATAGGGGAGAGATGGTACAAAGCATTCATACATGAGAAAAACAAAAGTACACTCATGTACCGGGTGGGTGCTCCCTTCTTACTGGATACATTACTCGATGGCTTTTGCTAACGATAGTACTACATAGGTCATGCCGACTAACAATGCCGAAGTGTATGTTTACTCGTCATTCGTTTGTGCGCGAGTTTAGGTTAGTCACCCTTTCCCTTCGAAGAGTCAATAAAATAGCACGTTAATGATGATGTTGTACATACAGGAATGAGATGGGGTTTTTCGGGCACATTTAGGTCAGGTGTTGCATGGGTTTGTCGGTCAGATGCTTTATACGTTGCTTCGCCAAAGATGTTATCGCTTCACTGATATTAGATAGATTAGCTTAGATATTGTGGCATGGTCTCTCAGGTATTGAGTGTGCTCACTACAAGACACAGCTTTATGTGTCTATGCAGGATGCAGAGTGGTTCTATGCCTGGCTTTTCGAAGACTAGATTGGGATTAGATTTGGCGATCAGGGATATTAATAGAACCTGTTGCGCTCAACTTACCTCTAAGTTTCTGGGAAGTTCAATCTGCTCTCGACCTATACAAACTGCAACTCTCTCGGAGAGTCTGCTCGATGGGAGTGACACCAGCAGGCGTGAGCGAAGACGCCTGGCCGTACTCGGATTTAATAAAGGCCAAAAGCAGTGTTTGTTGGCACAGCTGGTAGTTTTCTGAGATGGATGTGAGAGGTTATACGGTATTATGTAGTGATGGCTCAAACATTATAATTTTCAGGGTTAATCATGCTAAACTGAGGCTCAAATAAACCCTTGGTACGGTACCCGGCTCCTCTGAGAAATAAATAGATTGATTACTAGAGGCTGGAGCCGTTCCGGGCGAAGGCTCGAAAAAAGAAACTTGGTAAAACACCTTATAATCTGAAGCAATTGAAAAAGCAGGCAACTACAATCCAGAAGCTGCTCAGGGAGCATACACACAACCCTTCAAGCCCTACTAAAGCTGCTCTAACGCAGCTTTTCAAGGGGTATGGAATGGCCATGAATAGTGCTATTCTTTTGGCCCATGAAAATCAGCTTCAAAAATGCAAGCGATCTAGGAGGCAGATAGCTACTGAAGAAGGCCTTTCTATTCAGGAGGGCAAGGACCTCATACAGGACAGGAGACAGGAGGAAGAAGTCATACCTACTACATTTACAGAACTGGCACCAATGATAGAATACCGCTCTGTACGGGCGCCACCACGTTGCAGTGATTACAATATTATAGGGCATAAAAGGAACCGGTGTCCTAATCGCAATGGTTAATTATTTTTCACATAGAAATTCATTTTATTGATGTTAAAAAGACTCCTACATTTCGACCATGGTCGGAAATGCGCCACTCGGTAGGGAAATACGTTAACAAGGGCCATGATAACAAGGATAATAATAATAATATCCGACCGGAGAAAATACATCCTGTCAATCCGACAGACAAAACTATCAAAATGCCACTCCAAAAATGCACCCTAAATAACACAAAATAAGAACAGGAACAAAAAGAAAAAAAAAAAAAAAAAAAAAGCGGAAGGGACCAAAAGGTCTGGTATGGCTAAATAGAATGTCAAATGTCAGTGAAGCAAGGCAAACCATGTATAAAAATAAAACGCCCAAGCACGCCCTTCATGTCTAGATTGTTCCCCCCCCTTTCAGTAAGACAAGGCAATATACGATAAGGTGAAAAGAGATGTGGAAAGAAAGACAAGATGAACAAAGAAAAGAAAGTAAACGAGTAGACGATAATGGAAGGTTGTGGTATGAGTTTAGTTCAGTCCAGCATAAGTCTGGCAAGACTTGTCTGTCAACTGAACCAACACACCGGTCATAAAATCATGCAATCCATCGTGAATCCAATGTCGTCAAGCGATATAAATAAACCATTCATGAGCCCATGACCCAATTCCTTTTTCTTTCTTTCTTTCTTTCTTTTCTTTTTTTTTTTTT